GGATTAACCCTTTGTGGACAGACTGTACTTAAAAGTACCATAATGTTGTCAGGTCACATTTATAAAAGTGTCTACATTTCACTGACAAAAATCACTAGAATTTCACTAGATTAAAAAAAATAAATTTCTATGGACTAACATAATAAATGTTATATTTTCGCAATATTTTCAATTCAAAAGTTAGCCCTTAAAGCCCTTAACGCAAATACCAATATAATATATAACAATAACAATAATTATTATGCAGAAGGAATTATTCCAAACAACCATAATTCAAATTTTATTTAATAAAATAAAGAACGGGAGCAAAGTACTCACGTTATCTATTTGAAACAATTATTATATAATATTAAATAAAATTACATAAAATTTTGCGAAGAAAAATGTTCGGTGTTCGGAAATTACGCTACGTTTGGGACCATATTTAACACGGACTTTAATATAAGCTCCTTTAAGCCCAAAAAAGACTTCTGCTCGCTATGTGAAAATTACAAAAATTCATTAGATAAATCTACATTAGAAGCAGCCTATAATACTCACCGTCAAGAAGTGGAACTTAGTAAAAAAGAAAAAAAAATGAATCAAAATCTGCAAAATCCAACACTTGCATTACGGCCTGTTTTGACTTACAAGCCGTACTACCGACACTTTCAGGCGATATCCCCTTATTTTATTATAAAAGGAGATTATAAACATTTAATTTTACAATTTTTGACCTGACCACAAATGCAGGAGACTGCTGTCTATGTTTCGAAGGAATTGTTAATCGTGGTCTTGCAAATAGCGTCGTGCCTGTTATCATTTCTAAGGAACCATGTCAGAGAACAGGATGATATATTCAGATAACTGCAGTGGGTAAAATAAGAATAAGTATATTGTCTGTCTTTATCTCTATCCAATACAGAAATTGAACATATCTAAAATTACCCACAAATTTTTGATAACGGGTCACTTCCAAAATGAGAGAGAAAAATGCATTCTTTGATTGAAAAACAAAAAAAGGCGTTAGGAAGAACAATTTATGTGCCTTCGCAATATGCCACAGTAGTTCAAATAGCGAAAAAATCAGGCGAACCTTACAAAATGAATGAAATGCCTAAATCGGATATAATCTACTTTAAAAAATTATGTAAGGAAATGGGAAACAATTATAGCGTTGACGAAGAAGGAAATCAGGTTGTCTGGAATGAGTTTGAGATGATCAAGGTGAAGAAGACACTTGAAAATAAGTTTCAGGTTAAAACAAGCTACCACGATACAGAGGTCAGAAATAGTAATATAAGGCGAAGACAACGAGGGTTGGTGGATAATACGGAACTAAGTAAATCATATTCGAAACCACCAGGAATATCCACTCGAAAAAAAAAACAAGATCTGCTCTCGCTATCTAATTCTCTTTTCCAAAATTAATATATTTTTTAAAACCATATGGCCGTATGTGCTAAAATACCTATTTCCTGAAGAGAATTTCACTTACTCCTTACTGCATATAAAAATATGCAAAATTAGTGACAATTATGCTAAATACCAGGTTTGTAGCTTAATTTTTGGAATTACAGTAAATAATATTAACTTTAAAAAAAATTAAAACGCTCATAACTCAACATTATGATTTTTGCAGTTACTGCCATATGGTTTTCAAGGTGCGATATTAAATTTAAATGGGACAGACAATGGATTCAGTTTGGTGAAAGCAGGGGCACTAATTTATACAAATTACGACCAACATTAGATGTAAAGCAATTTTACAAAGATGTTATACTAAGCAGAAACACAGTGTAAACTGTCTTAAGATTAAAAGTAGATCATGGATGTTTTCCGAAACATCTACACAAAATAGGAGTTTTCCCAACAGACCGATGTGAGTGTGGAACTAGTACAGCTGATTTAAATCACATATTTTTCAACTGCCCACTACATCGTAATACAAGCACGTGGCTGCTAAAAGAATTGATAAAAGACGGTTTAAGTACACCATTAAACGTAAATCATCTATTAAGTGAAAACAATATAAAAAATTTTTAAAATCATTATGTTATTTCTTGTAAAAATTAAATTAAAGGTATGAGTGTAAAATTGATCGTATGCTTAAACATTTCCTTTGTATGTTTACCATATTGTTGCCCACCTACCTAACCGTGGTTTATGTCTTGTTTGTTACAATAAATCCGCTCTGATGAATCCCTGATCGTGAAAAGTGTCCTCCTTTTTAAGGATAATTACGTGGCTAAAGGTTTCAAGCCAAATTATAAATAATAAAGGAAATTTTTTTAATAAATTTTTTTTTAGTAATTTTAATGACTTCTTAATGATAATGTTCTATATGAAGTATTTATTTTTAGGCATAGCACAAAAGGTGGAGAGTAACCATTGTTTCGCTATATGTCCTGTTTTGTATATTGTGTTTAACAAGACTACTATAATGTCTAAGGTTTAATGTCTTTGAACAACTCATTGATGTATTATATATATATATATATATATATATATATATATATATATATATATATATATATATATATATATCTTTAATTTTTCGTTAGTATTCAACACTAGTTTCCCATTTGTATCTTTCAGTATCTTTGTCTATTGTTGTGAGTTAATTCTATAATTTTTGTGTGCTTGTCTTAAAACTATCATGTCTTTTCTGGTATCCTTCTATTTCTGCGCCTTTTAACCATTTATGTACGAATAAGAGCAAAGAAAATATTGATCGTGGTATCACTACAAAATAATTACTCTACTAAGATTGCGTTGTTCACTTATTTTCCATTTTACGAATATTATACTGTATAATCAGAACTTATAGTATCCTAAGTATTAATTCATCGTGAAAACTAATCCTACGGTGCATTTTCCGATTATTTCGGTTTCTAATTGATCATTTCAAAGTGTGAATTGTTTTGAATATAATTTTGGTGACCGTGGCAATGATAACGTTTTTATATATACTTTAAATCACCTTAGCATTATCAATGACGCAAAGATAAACAAAATAATTACTTTTTGTCATATGATGTCATTTTTTATTTATTTAGATCTAAAATAAGGTTGTCGTTGATATCAACCGTGTTGTTGATACGGCTCACCTTTAATCTTTGTTAGGTCTTGCGGTTCTCCCATCCTGTTTTCTACGGAAAATGTTACTTAACGCGGTGGGATATGAAACCAGATGTATATTTTAGCATGATATTTATAACATGAAATGCATAATATATATATATATATATATATATATATATATATATATATATATATATATATATATGAAACCTAGAGCTAAGATTAATATTATTACTAAAATTAATATCAAACTCACCAACGCGCGAACCGCGTCGATATCCATTTTGCCGGGCTTTCGGCATCCTCTCTGATGCCTTCCTCAGGGCTTCCGAGGTCTCAGTCTCCCGAGCCCCCAGACACTACTACACTGTTCACTGATCACTGCGTTGTCACTACTACTCTTTGTTGTAGTAGATAGATTATATATATATATATATATATATATATATATATATATATATATATATATATATATATATATATATATATATATAAATTTACACTTGGAGTAAATCATCTTCGAGATTTGGTGGGTGAGAAGGAACATTATCGAGGACAAGAAGGATTTGCATGGGTAGGTTGATTTGCTGTAGATATTTTTTAACAGAAAGGGCAAATACCAGGTTTATCCACTTCATAAAGAATTTCCTGGTTACCCACGTCTTTGGATATGCTCTCCACATAACTCGCAGATTTTATTTTAAAATCTCATGTGACTCTGGGCTTGTGAATTTTCTGAACGGTACACTAGAAGAGGTTTGATTTGATAGTCATACAGGTTTACAGTTTACAAGTAGTAGAGTTAATTTATCTTTCATAGTTTTGTGACCTGGCATCATCTTCTCCTCTGCCGTTATGTAACTCCTATTTGGCATCTTTTTCCAGAAAAGCCCTGTCTCGTCACAGTTGAAGACTTACTGGGGGATGTATTCTTTGGCTTGTATCAGTTCGGAAAACGTTTTCATGTAAACCTCAGCTGCTTTCACATCCGAACTTGCTGCATCAACATGCCTGACGACTAAGTGAATGCCGGCACTTTTTCTAAAGTTGTCAAACCAGCCCCGACTGGCTTTAAACTAGTCTTCCAATTTATCATTTGTAAAAGTGTGTAGGATTTACTTTAGCAAATCTTCGTAAATCGCTCGTACCCTCTCACATATGATGCTTTGTGTTAAGGTTCCTCCTTGAAACTGCTTCTCTGTCACCCACACAATTAGTAGTTTCTCCATCTTTTTATGGAGAGAAGTCCGGAGCTTAGAAATTATTGTAACGACCTTAGCTGACATTATATCATTTATCACCTCCTTCCGTTTAAGTACAGAACATATTATTGTTGTGGTACTCCCGTACATTCTCGCTAAGTCAGTTACTCGTACACCTTGCTCATGTTTTTCAATGATTGCACGTGCACGTTTTAAGTTCATACACAGTGTAAATTACACCGACATCGAGAGTGCAATATGGTTAGTATTAGAATCCGAATTTTTGTCGGATTTAACTTCCAATGACCATTTGATTTCTTGGTCCAAGTAATAGTCACTTACAGACCCGTAAAATGATCTTTATGGCGAGGCCGCAAAGATCTATTACCAGTAAAACTACCTTTTATTTACAAAGCAAATTAAAAGTAGTCAAGTAAGAGGTATCAATTTTAATAAAAACCGATTCCTCGTATCTCAAATCTTGCTCTCATCACAAAGCAAAATAACGCTCGCTACGTGGCTCGTGTTTCAGAACAATCATATATTAGGGCACTCGTATATCGGGGTACCACTGTATATATATATATATATATATATATATATATATATATATATATATATATATATATATACTTTTGTTATAAAAATTTTTGTCCCGGTTGGGCCACCCGGTACATAAAAATTTATATTAATTTTAAAGAAATTGTTAATACAGTACGATTTAATTTGTTGCAGAACATACCACCAAAGGGAAACACCTCCTTCAACGTGGTATTCCTCGGTCGAGAAGAAGGATATATAGAAAGTGACCTGTACATACATACTTCAGAGGGATTTCTGAAGTACAATGTAAGTTATTTCATATTGTATTCAGAGACAGTTATTCTTTGATGTATGTTGTAGAATTTGCAATAGTTGAATTGAATTTTTTGGCGGATTTGTAAAATAGATTTGATATTATTTTTATAAGTAAGTTTGATTATTAGTTTTAAACTACCAGATAAACAGATATATAGAGTGATTCATAAAAATGGGTATTTTACTCGCCGACTTTTGTTTTTTCTAATGGTGCTAATGACGCTTATTCGATTCCTAAATATATGAAATATTTTACTGCTTCAACATTTCTGTACAATTTACAAAGATACTCGTCGAGAGGAATATGCATTTATTTAGCAAATGAAATTACTAAATACTTTTTCCATCAGTATTAATATCCTTATTGACCAATTTAACACGTTGAGAGCGTTAGCAAATTTAGCCCTTTTAATTTTTATGCATTACATGCACTGTGGTACTTGTATATAATCTACTTTTGTGTGCGATACAAGCACCCGAGACCATGTATGCATCAATAGCTGTATTGCCATCTAGATGGAAGTGACGTAAATAATTGAGCACTCCGGTTGATTTTCTGTAATAAGAAGGTAGTAAAGTATACTAGACTCGATTTGTACATATATCTGAGTATATGTAACGCATATAAATACAGGTTTAGTTATCAATATAAACATAAGGATATACAATGTTCTAATAAAATTAGCGTTTATTTTCTGTACCAATACATAAAATAATATTAACATTAATATAAGTAAAATAATAATAATTAACAATGAAAATTATTAAAACACGGTAAGCAAAATCCTGGGGTATTTGGACAATCTTGGCAGAATGAGGTTACTCTGCGAACTTTTCGGTCGGCTTCTCTACTAGATAGGGTAATCCGAAGTGTTTTGTAGCAACTGGTGCACACTTTTTTCTTTTTTCTACCAGGCCCTTCAGGTTTTACAAAAGTATGGATTCTCTTTCTGGGGACTTGCTCGATTATTCGTTCATTACATGATGCTGCTGAAGCTGAAGGTGCTGCTGAGGTTAATTCTTCTGCCAATTGTCTTCTAAAATCAGTAATACTTAATTTTGTAGTTGACAGATTATTAAATACAATCCAAGAGTTAACAACGGTGGTACCAAAAAGGAGTTCAAATGCAACTTTTCTGAAAAATAAAAAACAAATTGAACACACAACTAATAGTGATATAATGTGCATGTTTAACATTACCTGTACCATTTTAATAGTACAGAGTGGTAAGAACTCATTTGATCGCTGACATCCACCCCCTTCTTGGCTTTATTGTAGTCGAGGACACATGCTGGCTTCATAACACTTTCATTTTTGTGATTTTTTTTACCTAAAATAGATATAAATGAATATTTATTTACTGACAACAAATTGTAATTACAACTTACCAGTGTCTATCAGTGCAGCATCGTGTTCTGGAATGGTAGAAATCATTAAAACTGGTCTTTTATCCATCCATTTGATGATTTTGGCTTTGCCTTTCTGCTTTCCTTCAATTTCCCCCTTTTTCATGTTTTTTTTTTTAACATTTGTGGAACTCCTCTTCTATTGCTCCTTAGTGTACCACAATACAGAAATTTCAATTCATACAAATTTTCAGCAACAGGAATACTGGAATAAAAGTTGTCAGCGAATAAGATTCTACCCTTGTGTTTCTCTAGAGGTTCTATCAATTTCATAATCACCGTTTCAGTGTGAGCAATATCAACCAATTTGTTCTCAGCCTTTCCTGTATAAATTGTTACATTATAAGTGTAACCACTTCCTGAGCACAATTTGTATAATTTGACTCCATACCTGTGCGTTTTATTTTTTATGTATTGCCGAAAATGTACCCTTCCTCGAAATGGTACCATGGATTCATCTATTACAATGGTTCTTCCTGGAGTAAAAACTTGTTGAAAATTTCTTAGTAATATTTTCAATACTGGTTCAATTTTGTATAGCTTGTTGTTCACATCGGCAAGTTCATTCCTATTAAAATGAATGAATTTTAACAATAAAAGGAATCTGTCTCTTTTCATCTTCGTAACAATGAAACCGTTGCGATAAGCAGGATCTTTAGACCAGTATTGGTAAATACTAGGCACTGAATTTAATCCCATGATTAGAATGATGCCAAAAAAGTTTAACATCTCATAACTATTTGTCTCTGTCCACAATCTAATTCTAGATTTGCTTCTGAATCCCTTCTGAATATGATCATTTGCAAATGCATTGGTTTCATTAACAATTAGTTCCAAGAGATCGTCGGTAACAAAATGTCTGAATATATCAACGGGTTTAATTGTGGCCGGTAGGTTGTCTATATTTATAACATCTGATTCTTGTAAGAGATCAAAATCGCTCGTTTTTACACGAATATTTTCCCAAGAACTTGCTTGCTGTTGCAGTACTATTTCCTGTATTTTTTCGTCTGCTATATTGTAATTATCATATTCAGGAGAGTCAGATGAACTATCATCGTATTCAGATTCATTATCTGAATCTGAACCGGCTGACGAAACTTCATATGTCTTATCTAATATCGAATCATCGCTATCGAAAGGGTCTAATACAGACGTACTTGAAATGGGTGAGTTTGACACTTCTGCATTTGTTAAAACATTTGCATTTTCCCCTTCTGCTGCTATTGCATCAATTGACGTTTTCGTACCTTCTTCTGGATAAATTTGTGTGTTCTGTTTATCACCATTTTTGTAGCAAGATGCTGACGTATCTGGTTTAGAATAATTTCCTTGCTGAGTATTCGGTACTTCAAAAGTTTGTTTAACTTTTTTATGTTTTTCGGTAAGCACCGTGAAATTTAATATTCTTTTGGTTCGATTACTCATTTTAATAACGATTCACTTTAAATTAGCACTTATTCTACTCAACAATACACAAACACGATGTAACTATACACCAATTAAAAATTTTAGGTTAGAATTTGCACGTGTACTTTACATATACTCGGGTGTGGGTAACGCAGTGAACTAAAACGATTTTACTTCTGTGCGATACATGTATTTGGGTATATGTATCATTTTAATACCACAGCGTTATCAAGAATATCTAATATAGTAAATCGGTACTTAAACGACCAATATTGGTTAAAAATTGACAATTTTATTGATTCCGCACATTGGTAAAAACTTATATTGAGCAGTGATGCATAAAAAGAATTAGCTTTGCATGCACCCGGGTGTATGTAACGCTCTCAACGTGTTAAGGAATTGCCATTCGTTGAAAATATCGTTGTCGGATATTTCCTTGCCCATTATTTCCACAATTGATGTTCTCGTTTCTTTGGATTCGAAATGTCCTATCCCACAGGTTATTTTTGATTTCGTTTTAAGGAAGTGTATTCACTACTAGATAAACTAGTCAATAGCGGAGTCCCTCAAGGATCAGTACTTGAGCCAGTGCTCTTTGTATCTACAACGGCCATATTTCGCTCATTGTACGCAGTAAGGTTTTCATTTACGCTGATTATATAGATATATTTACCAAATTATATGGAATCTCATTAAGAACCAATATATTCTACAGCACGATCTTGACTCAATATTCATGTGGTCTTAACCACCAAATATTTACTTCCTCATTAACATTTTACTACATGTCGGCAAATATAACATAACATTACCGTACTTTATTAACTACCATCCCTTAAACTCGGTAACCTCAATCGAACATCTATGGGACACACTGGGAAGATGAATTTAAGTTCGGCTACCTGGCCTAAACACCTTGCCTGACCTTAGTGTGGCTCTTTAGACAATGTGGAACGAATTGGACCAACTTTATGTTCAAAATTTTATTATCACAATGGCAAGACGAATACAGCCTGTAACAAATGACATAAACAGTATTTTGTCATAACTGTTTTTTTATCAACAAAGCTACTTATTTAGATTTAATGTTCTTCCTTAAATTTATGTCCAGTCTATAAATAGCATCTCCAAAAATGTGTCTTCTCAATAAAACAGGCGTGGATCGAATTTTTTGCACCTTATTGTATAAAGAATAGTGATTTTCAGAATAATTTCAAATAGAGCGGGGAGAAAAAAATGCAAGTTAAGTATTAACTTGGAGGATATCTGTATAGTAATATGGGAGAATAAGTATAAGAACACATGTGAAAGTAAAAGGCGGGAGCTGCTACAGGGGAGATTATAATATGTGTTACCTTGCACTTCATCAATGCTACCAACTGCTTATATATATATACGTATGTATGTTCATCGTTAACAGGCTTTTTATGCCCATTGCTGGATGAATAATTTCCATCGTTTTCTGTTCTTAGCTATCAGCTTCCAATCTCTCGATTCCCATCTCTCTGACATCTTCCATCACTACATCTCTCCATTTCCTTCTTGGTCTTCCTCTCTTTTTTTGCTCTCGGGTATTCTCCAAGCAATATTCTTGACTAGTATATTACCTTGCATTTTTTCTAGATATCCGAGCCATTCTAGTCTACGTTTTTTTACCACTTCTGTTATTGTTGGGTTAGCATACAAATGGTACACTTCCGCATTAGTTTGTCTTCTCCATTCTCCCTCTACTACTTTTCCACCAAACATTCTGCGAAGTATCTTTCTTTCCCATGCTTCTAATCTGTTCTATATGGTTTTGTTCATAGTCCATGTCTCGGCAGCGTATAGCATTGGGGTCTTATTATAGTTTTGTAGACTCTTATTTTTGTATTAAAAGATATATCTTTGGCTTTAATTATTTTGCTCATGGCTCCAGCACATCTTTTGCTTTTGGTCAGTCTCAGGTTGATTTCAGTTTCTTCTTGACATGTCTGATCAATAAGAGTACCTAAGTACATATATTCATCCACCTTCTCGAATTCTACAACTGATCAATCCTCCACCTCCAATTTAAAGGATCCCCTGGTATTTATTCCTTTTTTTGCTCGAGATTTCCATGTACTTCAATTTATTAATATTAACTTTCAGTCCAATTTTAGAGCTTTCCCGAATTAGACTTTTTGGTATATTTGCCAGTTTTTTTACATTTCTTGCAATGAGAACAACATCATCAGCGTATGCTAAGTATTGGTGCTCCTTGTATAAAATAGTGCCGGACCCATTTATCCCACTAACCCCTACAATTTTTTTCTAGAACTATACGTTTCGGATAATTTTTTGAAGTTTTATATAAAGTTGCAGCTCGAGGATCATCATCGTTATCATACTCGTGTTCGACGACATCGAAACCCCCCCCCCCCCTCCGATTAGACTGTCGACTGATTAAGAATGAAATTAACATTCTCCAGGTCTACCCTGGGCAGCAGGTAGCTCGGAGACCTGGTACATTTAGTGCATTTACTGCGTTTCATTGCCACGTCTAAGAGCATAAACGCTAATAATAGTGATATGACCTGTATTGAATTTTTGTCTACTAATATAGCTACTCCGCAGCGATTTCTGTCATGTTTAACTACTCCACTGTATATCGTTGTGTAATCGTTAAAATTTTTAGTTTATCGAAGTTTGCCGCCTATATCTACCTTACGATTTTTTCGTTCTTTATTTCTTGTTCTCAATTTCTCTCAACTTCAACTTCTCTCAACTCAATTTTCTAAAACTCCCAAGTAGCTTACTTACTTACTTAGTCCTAAGCCTTTCTACCGTTAGGTGTAAGGCTGGTGGAGTTAGGTTTTGCACTGTTGTCTCCATGCTTTTCAGTCTTGTGTTAAATTTCGTACACTTTGCCATGTTAATCCTTTCTTCTCAACTTCGTTTCTGATTTCGTCTACCCACCTAACTCTTGGTCTTCCTCGTGTGTTTTTCCCTTGCACTCTCGTTTCAAACACTCGTTTTGTTAATCTTTCATTTTCTGCTGTTCTACATTGTTTTCTGCTATCAAAATCATGTCGTCTGCAAATAGAATCTCTGATAGTTGAGTCTGTTTCATTTGCCAGTATCCTAATGTTAATTTTCTCATTCTTCTCTTGGCTTTCTTTATTGCTTCATCCAGTACCACTGAAAACAGCAGTGGGCTCAACATGCATCCCTGTTTGACGCCTTGACTTGTAGTAAATTCTTCGGATTCCTCGTTATTGGTTCTCACCGTATTTATATTATTATTGTACATATCCTTTATTACATCAATTGTTATCCTGTCAACTCCTCTTTCCTTTAATATCCTCCATACGTCCTTTCTTTGGATTCTGTAAAACGCCTTTTTTAGATCAATAAATCATATATGTATTTCTCTTTTTTTATTGATTACTTTCTCACTTACTTGTCTTATTGTAAATATGTGGTCTTGTGTGCTTCTGTCCTTCCTGAATCCACATTGTGTATCTGCCATAGTTGGGTCTATTTGGGTTTTTATTCTTGTTTTTATTATTCTTGCGAATACCTTCCCAGGAATACTTGATATAGTAATACCTCAGTAATAATTACAGTTTCTCTTGTCGCCCTTTTTGTGTATTCGTAGTATAATGTCTTTCTTCCAGTCCTGTGGTATTTCTGCTCTTATGATATCATTCATTAGTTCTTTCATGCTGTCCACTCCCTCTATTCCCATGAATTTTATCATTTCCGGGGTGATATGATCCTTGCCTGGTGCTTTGCCTAATATAACCCTTTCAATTGCCTTTTCTAGTTCCTCTGTTGTTATGGGTTCTACTTTTTGTTCTTCATTTATTCCTTGTATCTGCACTATGTTGTCTACGTCTGTATGAGTTAGCTCTTTGAAATGTTCTCTCCATCTTTCCATTATTTGGTTTTCTTCTGTTATTACCTTTCCATTCTTGTCTTTTATTCGACATCATGTGTTCTTTCTTTTGTCTGAGCTGTTTTAATGCGCCATAGAAAAGTTTTTGATTTTCCCTATAATTATTTGTAATTTTTAATTCAAACTTTTCCCGTGACCTTTCTTTTTCTGCTTTCACAGCTATTTTAACCTCTTTTCTTTTTTCTTTCTATGCCTCATAGTCTTTAGATCGCTTTGTACTTAGATATCTCTTCCATTTTTCTTTGTTCTTCCACTTTCTTTCTTCCCAAGTAGCTCTCTTTCATATTTGTTATTACAGCCCATTTATCCTTGACTTGTCTGGTTCGTCGTTATATTGATCAGTCCGATCTTGTAATCTGTAGCTCTGTGTCTCTAATCTGTAGCTAGCTAATTCGAATAGTGGGTATGCCTCCTTGAGTGGGTTAGACTCTATGTATAACGGCAAATATTAAGTTTTTTGCTTAATAAACAAAACGGTATAGGAAAGTTTTGTTAAAGCAAGTAAAACAATACTCATTGTTTATGAATCACTCTGTAGATGTTGATTTTAGTATAACTTAATAAATATTAATTTAAAAAATAATATGTTGTGTGCTTCCTGTTTTTGTTGTTACAGATTACTTTTAGTGTCGAAAACGTATAGAGAAAACATTGTCAAAAGTTGTATGAGTACGAATAAGAGCTTTTAGAGAATACCCAGAGAATATCTAAGGTTTTTATTATTTGATCTCTCCATCACTGCAAAACTTTTCTTATAATATACTCTTCTTGTGTATTAAATATTTTGGTGATAGAAAAGAGCCTTGTCTTACACCAGGTTTTGATCTAAACGGTTTGGAAAAAACGTTGTTGACCATTATTTTTCCGAAAATGTTTTCTATATATTTTTAAGTAGAAGAATTAGATATTTTGGATCCCACATATTTGTCAAGTCCAACTCAACTTCGCAGACTCTAACGCCCTGTAGTTAACGATGCGTAAATAGGTTTTAACATTAATAAATTCATATACTTTTTTCCCTTATTTGTTGGACATTTAAAATTTGCTCTCTCGTTCTTTTCAGGCATAAAATCTCTTTGTTCATCAGGTATATGTGGAAGCAAGAAAGGGCTTAAAGGCTTGTGTTTTATCAGTCATTGGAAAAACTTACATCTGTCCATAAAGATATCGAAGAAGACCATGTCTTCGCTGGATCGACGAACATCTGGGGAAATTGAGAAAGTCAGAAGATGGCTAACTACGGACTACAATCGATTTGCTTTCAAGGCCAATGTTGTTCGTGCTTGGGTGCACCATGGGCTGTGTCGCCGCGAAGTATTACTATCAGTAGTAACAAATGTCCATATTTTTTCACTGTTAACGCACCTTTCTATAATTTCTTTGAAAAAGTAGACCAAATTAATCAGTTATTTGTTTTTAGTTGACAGTTAAAGATAGTGTTTTTTGCAGGTACGTGGTGCCAGTACATACAGCCATTACAGGATACGACCCATAGGGGTCAAATTGCCATTGAATTCAACGTTTGCACCGTTAATTTTTTTGCACAATCCCCATTTGGAACCTCTCCAAGTAAGTATCGTAGTTCAATGAGAGAATATATGTAGTTTATTTCTAGTTGTTTTTATAGAGTCATAAAAAACCCAGTGAAATAAAATACCGTGCTTTCACTTCTTTCATTCATGAAAGGGCAAACTGCTTCAATGAAAAGAAGAAAAACAATGAAAATCTCGTCTTACGTGCAATTTCTGTTAATTTAAATTAATGGAATACGTTTTATGACGAATTGGGCTTCGAAGGAGCTTTTGATGTAGCATCTGAGTGGTTGACTCGCTTTAAGCAATATCATGGGATGAAGGAGATAGGAGTTCATGTAGAAAAGCTCAGCGATGACCAACAAGGAGCTGAGGAATTTAAAATTGAGTTAGAAAAGTTACTTTCTTGATCTTAACTTCGAATAAAATTTATAGCTTGGACGAACTTGGTCATCAAACAGATATGAGAGTAAAATCCGTTGGCAAGAGACATATACGCAGACTAGACTCAGATGAAGGGATAACATTCTAAAAGATTTACATGCCATAGTAATAAACAACTGGTTAGATGATATGATTGACCGAAGGAGGTGGAGGCAAGTCCTACAGGTAGCAAAAACCCACGAATGGTTGTGAAGTTTCACAGAGAGAAAGAGATAGACGAATCTTCTGGAAATATCTTCCAATTGCCGTTTACAAGTGAAGGTAAAGCAGATGGCCATAAATTCAGCAAAGAATGGATTACGAGTATGTCCTACAGGAAGTCGCAAACTGAAATTAACGGTGATTGGTAAGGCAAAAAAAAACTTAAATCTTTTAAGGACGCTAATGCAAAAAACTACCTGTTCATTACTTCATCCAAAAGGAAAGGGTGAATGGATAAAAGATATTTTAAGTTTGAAGCTAAATTTGCACCAGAAGTCAAAATACATTTAAAGTAAACAATTGTGGAAAGTTTCGAACGTAGTTTAGGGGTTCGAATCGGTTAACAAATGCACCTTTGTCCGCTTCTCGTCGATCGATGATGGTAGGTATAATAAAAGGTTGAAGTTGCGGAGTAAAGTGTTGATTTATTGACAGCTACTGGTAATTACACAATATGATATTCATTAGGTAACTACTTATTATTGACTGTGTTCATATGAGCTCAAATCCCCAATTTATAATCTCACAAATAATTTATACCTAAGCAAATAGGTCATTGCTTTCTAACATATCATACAAACTAACTTTGCTTACAATACAATTTAATCTACGCCACTTGCGACACTTAGGAAGTTCAATTAGAAAATATATTATTAGGCAATTTATTTAGTTGTAGGTAAATGAGCTAATTATTAAAATATTATACGATATGGTTTTAAAATGTCATTTATACGCGGTGAACCTATAAAAGATTATGAAGTTAAGAAAAATGTGAGATTACAAATTAAGGGGTTAATTTGTGATTGAACAATTGACAATGCCTTTCACATCCAGAAACGTATGTGCTTAAGTCTGCTGAGGGCAAAGTGTTTGCCTCCAAACACGACTGTGTTAGTTCAGCCTATAGTCCAAGGCGTCATTGCGTCTCTGAAGAAAAACTACAGAACATAGTTCTGTACGTTTCGGGACTATATTTATGAACTCGGATCTGCGTGGGAGTCTGTAAATTTTTCAACAATTGTGAAGTCTTGAAGAAAAATGTTAGCAAACACCAGAAATTGTGAACAACTTACAATTGGAGAAGAGAAAAATGAACTGTACGGCCTTACAAGGTTAGTGAACTCAGTTCCTGCGAGAAACTTGCGTCGAAGAAGTCGAAGAGGAAAGTGATGAAGAAGAAGAGGAGGAGTTTACACCTGGGAAATGAGTGACTCCCAAAGCGATCTTGTGTCACGTGAATGAACTTCTAGAATACCTAGAGGACCAGGACGACGTACTAATCGCTGAAAAACTGATGCTGTGTAAAGTGCAATGTAGAATTATTAAACACGTTTTCCAACCAAAGAAGCAGAAACAAGTGACAGACTACTTTCAAAAAGTATAAAAATTGAAAGTATACATTAAAAATTGCAAATTAAAGCATTAAGTGAAAATAAATCTTTATTTTTTCCCCTTATTTGACTTCCTTTAAGCAATTAGCGGCATATCCGCGATTTTAATTATCCGCGGCAACCTTGCAAAATCAACTTCACGGATAAATAGGAAATTTTGAAATTCTTGTCTCTGTGTTATGACATTACTTTCTATGTGCTATGAAATAATTTTCAAACTGAGTACTATTCGCTGTGAGTTTCGCCGGTAGCGCTCTCTCGTGGTTTGAAACTTGTACTTTTCTTGTAAAATCGGTGTAAGTTAAATATGACAAAACGAGAAAAATAGATATTTATCTAAAAATACAAAATTATGAACTCAAATATTATTGTAAACTGATTACTGAACGAATACACAGAATTAATAGTAAAAATAATTACGTCTTTTTATTTTATTCATTTTAATTATAATATTTAAGATATAAGTTCCTGCAACTGGATGACTACTTACGCAAAAGGTCATTGCCAAAAATAAGAGAGTCTTCTTCTTCTTTCTTTATTGGACAGAAGAGAGTCTTTCCTTGTATAATAAATCAAATTTAGTAGGGTTATGTTATTGTTTGTCCCAACTGTCACATGAAAGCTTATTTATATTAACTTTTTTAACAATTGTGTCACATTTTAAACTGTTATCGTTAATATTTATTTAAAGTTCTCGTCTAAGACACATTCTGAAAACTATTTTATAGCTACTGTTAACAAGTGTCGGAAAATTTAAATTTGGCGCATTCGCATTTCTGGATATGTCCGCCATCAAAGGCCACTTTTTTGGTCTCCTTTTCATAACGATTAGATTCCCTCTTTTGTCTTTTTGCTCGATGCCTTTACCTCTGTAACATTGTAATTCTTGTTTTCATTTTGCATTTTCATTCTGTTTTTGCTCAGTTATTTTTTTGTATGCTTAGTCCTTAGTGCTTAGATATCAATTTTTATTAATTTGATCAAAATGGATATTAAACATTATATATATATATATATATATATATATATATATATATATATATATATATATATATATATATCGGTTTTAAAACGTTCTCCTACGTCTTCCGATGCCTAGTCGCCATTCACTTCGGTCCATCCAAAGGTCTTCATCTAATTCTCTTTCTCTCATACTTTGATTTATGCCTTTTCTCCAACTAAGGCGGGGTCTTCCTCTTTTTCGTCTGCCATGAGGGGTCCACGTTAGGATTTGTTTCGGGAGTCGTTCTTCGGACATTCTTTGTACGTGTCCATACCACCTAAGCTGTTTGGTACTAATGTCATCTACTATTGTGTGTTTCACATTCATTATTTCCCTAATTCTGTTGTTGGTTACCCTTTCTAATGTTGATTTTCCTGCTGAGCGCCTCCAGAAATCCATTTCTGTTGCTTCAAGTTTTCTCTTGTATCTTTCTTTTATTTGCCATACTTCACTGCTGTAAGTGATTATACTCTTAACAATTGTATTGTATATTCTATGTTTGTTGTTGTTTGATATTGCCTGGTCCCACAGTGTGCTATTGAGAAGGGTAATTGCTTTTCTTCCCTGGTTGTTTCTTTCTTCTATCGTCCGGTCTACGTTTCCTTCTTGTGTGATGGTCATACCCAGGTATTTATATGCGTCGCAATGTTTAATAATTTCGCCATTCCCCAGTGTAAGGTCCTGCTGTGTCCCACCGATACACATATATTCGGTCTTTTTTATGTTTATTTCCAAACCACCTTTTTTGTACTCCTGTATTAATTTCCTTGTCATATATTCTATATCATCGTAGTCTTGCGCTAGTACAAGTTGGTCGTCTGCAAATGACAAAGTGTATATTGTATTGTTGTTGATCGGTAATCCCATGTTTTTGCATTTGCGTTTCCAAAGTTTTAGAGTTTGCTCGAGGTAGATCTTAAATAATGTCGGTGAAAGGCAGCACCCTTGTTTTAGACCTTTGCTAATTTGGAATCCTCTCGATAGCCCGCTTCCAACTTTCACCCTTGCTGCAGTTTTGGTATACAATTGTTTCGTCGCTGTTATTAAATTTGCGCTTATATTGGTTTTCTCTAATGCTTCCCATAATTTGTTTTGTGGGATGCTATCATACGCTTTTCTCAAGTCCACATATAACAGATGCACCTCCTGGTTGACGGCCAGTTTCTTCTCAATAATCTGTGTAATACAAAACAGATGGTCTACCGTTGATCTCCCTGCCCGGAATCCTGCCTGTTCTTCAGCTTCTATATCTTTATATTCGTTTTCGATTTTATTTTTAATCAGTTTTCCGTATATTCAGCTGATCGAGTTCGTTACAGCGATGCCTCTGTAGTTGTCACATTGATCCCGTCTGCCTTTTTTATGTATGGTCGATATCCATGATGTCTTCCATTCTTCTGGGATTTCCGCTCCGTTGATGTATCTTTGAAAGAGTTTAGCCAGGTTTTCATATAATTTTGTTGTGCCATATTTTATTAGTTCAGCTGGTATGTTCCCTGGTCCTGGTGCTTTGTTATTTTTTAAAGACTTACATACTTCTACTTCTTTTGTTGTTATTCGTAATGGTGAGGCTGATATTTACGTTGCTGGTATCACTGATATTTAAAAATTCCGCTCTGTCCCCATTTAGGAGTTTTTTAAAATATTCGTCCCATTGATCCGGTGTGATTGATGATATTATATCTCTTTTCTTTTCCTGTCGTAGCGATTTTAATACTTTCCAACTTTCTGTACTTCTCCGTCCTCCTAAATGTGTGTTAATCATGTTACACTTTTGCTCCCAAGCCTCATTCTTCTTTTGGCATATCATTTTTCGCACTTTAGCTTGGGTCCTCTTGTATTCTACCTTATCAGCGTCGGTCCTTGTGTTCAGAAATTTTTTATACTTCTCTCTTTTATTTTTAATCTCTTGTTCTATTTCTTCGTCCCACCAATACGAAGTTTTTCTGTGGTTTTTTACTTGGAGTCCGAGAGCCTCTGTTGCTGCTTCCTGAAGACATGTTTTTATATAATGATAATGCTCTTCATTGCTGGTAAATTGCATGGTTTCTAACTTTTTATCTAGTCTACTCCTGTATAAATCCCTCACGCTTTCTTGTTCTAAGCTGTTTAGGTTGTATTTCTTTTCTGTTAGTTTTTCTATTTCCTCTGCAGCTTCTTTTAAATCTCTTGCTCTATCTATTCCTATTGTGAGCTTTGTTTTTAATAGATGGTGGTCACTGCCGCAAGTGGCTCCTCTATATACCCGCACATCCTGTACAATCAATTTAGTCTTTTGTCTTATGATTGTATAGTCTATGATTGATTTCAGCCCTCGGGTATTTTGTGTCCATGTATATTTATGGATATCTCGGTGTTGAAAGAATCCATTTGTGATTTTCATATCATTTTGTTCGCATAAGGCTATTAGTCTAGTACCGTTGTCATTTATAGCCTCTTCACCATATTAGCCTATGACTTTGTTGTGTTGTTTCTTGCCTGTTCTACTGTTTAGGTCCCCCAAGATTATAATTTCTCGTGATCTGCCGATATTTGCAATTTCTGAATGTAGCTTTTCAAAAAAGTCGTCTTTAATATTCACCAGTGCATCATCGTTTACTGCATATACTCCAATAATTGTAATCTTTTTTCCTTTGATAGTTAGATTCATTTTTATGAGCCTTTCGTTGATGGCTTCCCAAGCAGTTATGAATCTCCTTAGTTTCTTGCGTATAAGTATACCTACGCCTTGTTGGGCTCTTTTCTCCTTTGGTACCCCGCTGTAGAAGTAATCATATTCTCCGATATTTTCTGATCCTTGACCTTTTCGTTTTGTTTCGGTAATCACTGCGATGTCTATGTTCAGTCTATTTATTTCATGTATTACTTCATTTATTTTCTGTTTAAACCCTTGTACGTTCCAAGTTCCAATATTCATTATCCTTTTCCGTAGCATGTGTCGTCGTGCTATAATCCATCGATTCCGAGGCGTTTCGCTAGGTTTTTTAACAGTTTGAATTTTTCCGAGTAACGGGGAGTTAACCCGATGCCTCAACCCCCGACCTGGAGGACCAGGGTTTGATTTTGGAGTATTCCTTCTCCTAGAGGATTTGCTTTCTCTACAGCTTTAGAGCACCCTCCGCCCTACCTGTTGGTCCGCGGGTAGTATTTTATTTCCTACCTATCCGGCAGCATTAGGCTGGTGAAGACATGCCCCTATCCGCCACCTTGGGGACGCGCTCTCTAGGGGTTACAGGTTCCCCCGAAAGATATTAAACATTATACTGGTTTTAAGTATATATCATATGATATACCATTTCAACCAGCTACACCAAAAAAAAAGAAAAATTTAGTTGATGCAGGGCATGTAGGCAATGTTTCGGAATATACTAGCTTTTTTATTTTACACCATCGAAATATGTTTGTATTATAGGTTATTTACTTATTTTTCTTATTGATAGCAATAATCCATTTTTCCCTTTGAAATAAATAAAATTTACAATCACTGTTATACCCAGTATTTTTACATGTATCATATCTTTTTCTTTTTGAAATTTTACAAGTTAAATGCACAAAACTGCCACTAACAGCTTTGGTGAAAACTGTCAAATCCCCTCTACTCATCGGCTCACAGCGAATAGATACTTAGATTATTTCAAAGTACCGAGAAAACCTGACTTCTCTGAAGGAATATGTAGTTATTCGCGTCACTAACAAATAATAAATGTTGTAAAAATATTCCTTCTTTTTATTTAGATTGTAGAAGTACATGGCGAAGGAGGGGGATTTCATCTCGAATTACCAAATGGGGAATCAGAAGGGGCGAAAGATCTGTGGAAGTTAGATCCCCACGAAACTAAAGCCATCATTCGGGTGTTTATACAACCGGAGATCTTACAGAATTATACCGCATATGTTAGGTAAGTAGTACAGTTGATACCGTAATTTATTTGCTATTTTATCTCAAGTTGGACGAAGCGTTTTTATGCGGGAATGTAATTAATATGTACAAAAATTACACAATTTACCTTAGATAAATGAAAAAATTGTGTAAATTTGGTTTTAGTTTCGTTTTCTATACATTATTTTCATTTTAACTACAGTAGACTCGCAATTATCCAAGCTAATTGGGATCGCGCATACCTCAGATACCGAAAAACTCTGATAACCCGAAAATCGGGTGCTTGCTTAAAATAAACAAAAAATTTAAAAGTTATGACGTATGTAATTCGGTTATTATGTACAATTGAAGTATGTTAACCTGTATCTGAGTACATAGTTTAAATATATAGATAGGAAAACAAATACGTACTGGATCATCTTCATGTTATAAAAAAGTCTTTGATAGATTTCTGCGTCAACTTCTGGCCTCATTTTGAAGCTGCGACGTTTTGCCACGCTGAAGATGAAGGACGTGGGGAGCGTTTGACTCTTCTTGTTGCTGAATGTAGGCAAGGGCAGCTCCAATCGCCTTCAATCCTACGGAGTGAGATATTTTCTCGATTATCTCATCTATATCATCCTCAGTGACATTGTGTGGGTTGATAGCCATGTCGGTGATTACATCATCAGTCAGTTCCATTTGCTAATCTTCCATAATCACTCGTTGTAATCATAATGCCCTCGTTGACGTCTTCATCATTTATCGGCAGTTTCGTTGGTAACCGATTAGAGAGATCTATTATTTCAGCAATACAGTCATTGTTATCTTTTCCATAATTTTTCGCTTCAATTTAAAAAAGCTTTCACCATGATTTTTTAAAGGGCTGCTGTCACAGTCATTCCCTCATCCAATCAGGTCAACAACACTTAGAGAAGCCTTCGACGATAGTTCCGTTTCATAGGCTCTAAAATTCCTTGGTCCCGAGGTTGAATGAGATGTGGCAAGAAAACTTTAGTGTCTTTAGTATCACCGCTAGCCAACGAACTTACCTCTGGATGAGATGGCGCGTTGGTAGGTTTTTCTTTTTTAAGTAGGTTCGTCAAAAAACCAATCTTTAAAAATTTGGCAATCCATCCACGCACTACGTTGATTCCTGTACATGGTGGACAAACAGTTCACTTAAATATTTTTAAAAGCCCTTGGATTCTTCGATTTTCCAATGGTCTTAATTTTAAAGATCCAGAAGAGTTGCTACACATAAAAAGAGTTACTCGTTCTTTGAAACTCTGAAATTGAGATCTGTTTCGTCAAAATTGAAGATTTGGTCTGACGTCAGATCATGCTCTTAAATGAGATCTCTCAATTTTAAATTAAACGGCTCAATTTCAGATGAATCGGCCGAAACTGTTTCACCCGAAATGTTCAGTTGTCGGATGTTATACCTCTTCTTCCATCTGTCGAGTCAACTATCACTTGCAGTAAAATTTTCCTCGCCATCCTTAAACCGTTTGTGAAATTCGACAGCCTTAGCTTAAAGCATGGGGCCGCTATTTGGACTTACCAGCCCTCAAAGATTAAAAAACCATAAAAAATTTTCTTCAGAGGTTTGTTCGTATTCTCCTTTCTTCATAGATTTCCGCAACAAATTACTGCCACCACTCACACTTTTTATTAACCGATTGTTCAATATCTTTTCGTTTACGTCTCTAATCTCCCACAGTCACTTGTCCAACACCTATGCCAGCAGCAACCTTATTTACTGACTCACCCTTATCCAAGCGTTTTATAGCACTTAATTTTGTTTCTAAAGAAAGCACAACTTGTTTACATTTTAAACTTATATTGCACTCGGTTAATCCAGAGGCTCGGTTAATCGAGACTCGGATAATAGCCAGTCTATTGTATTACGCTTAAAAAAAACCTATTTGATTTATTAACATCAATTAAGAGTTTCCAAGTTGCGTCCTTTGGGTAGTTAATACCAAGCTTTTTTAATGATAATATCATTGTCTTCACTTAGTTCTAACAGTCTCTTTCCTCGTTCGTCAGGATTGATTTTATTTGCAGCTGCTATAAAAATATGGTTTGATGTAAGACCAAACCAGTTTCCTCAGTTCTTCAACCAATATGTTCTTTTTTTTTATTTCTTCGGTCTGTTATTATATGTACCTTCAATCATGTTTTGTAGTAGCAAATGTTTCTTTACTTATTCGTTTACTTGTTCGCGTACGAGGGGACGGTACAAGGGCACTGAACGCTGTGCCGTTCGTACAGTTCATGGTACCGATAAGACTTACCTTTTGGATACAGTTTATTTGAAATCGACTTACGAGCCCTTACACGAAATAGTTAATCGCGCAAACAATAGAATATCTATGATCAGACCCATGCAGTGGCGTTGCAATATTAAACAAATTAAATTATTTGAAATCGCAATAATTACAAAATTATTAATCACTTAAATAATAAATGGAATTTGATTGTATACAGATTGTTTTATAGGTAGATACCAAACTTGTTGTTTATTATAATACCATCTTTAATAAATTGATACTCTATAAAGTTTGGTAAAAGTTAATTTCTAATATAGTATCAGTAACCTTAAAGCCGTAATTATAAAGTCATTATTAATGACTCCTTAACGACTCGTTAAGGACATACAAAGAACTGATAAGAATTATTTCCGAGAGTTTCTAGTCACTGTATTTCAAACGAGTTCGTAATTTAGTTTCATTATGTTGTCGAGTCTCAACAAGAAAGGTGCTACCATGCCTATTAGAACTATTTTGTAGAATGGAGATGGTTAAGTGTAGTACGAGTAAACATATCAGATTGACACCAGAATCCAAAGGAATAGTTTACACTGTATTTAAATATATGCAAATACTATTTCCTGAAGATAGGAATAAATATAGAATAAATAAAAGAATAATAGGATTTGCAGCATCCAAGGGCATGGTCGTTGGAAGTACCTACTTCCCCCATAATAATATCCATAAAGTAACATGGACGTCGCCTGATGGTACAACCAAAAATCAAATAGATCACATCCTAATAGAAACCAGGCACTTCTCTAATCTAATGGATGTACGTACTTATCGTGGAGCTAATATAGATTCAGACCACTTCTTAGTAGGCGCAAAAATAAGAGCAAGAATCTCAAATGCAAAAAAAGAAAAGGGTAAGAAAAGTACTCGCTACAATTTAAAACTCTTGAAAGAGCCCCGTGCACTAAAAAGGTATCAAAATTACCTTGAACATGAAAGCACAACAGATGAGAATATAACAACTAGCGAGCAATGGGATATATGTAGAAGAACAATTAAGGAAGCAAACAACGTCCTAGGACCAGAAGAATCCACTCCACGCAACAGTTGGTTCGACGATGAATGTGAAGATATCACTAAAAGAAAAAATTATGCATATAAACTTATGCAACAAAGAAGAACACGGGATAAGGAGCAAATGTACAAAGATCTTAGGAAGGAGGAAAAACGCATACATCGAAGGAAAAAGCGGACCTTCGAAAACCAGATTATGCAAGAGCTTCAATCATTAAAGGGGCAAAATGAAACTAGAAAGTTCTATAATATCCTAAATAAGACAAGAAAAGAATTTAAACCACGGCTGACGATGTGTAGAGACAAAAATGGACATATAGTCAGTACCGCTGACGCAGTACAAAGCAGATGGGTTGAGCACTTCAAAGAACTACTTGGTACCGAAGTGGAAAATGATGCGTCACCCCAAAGACCAAGAAATAACACTCACGTAGAACCTCCTTCAATATTTGAAGTGAAAGACGCAATCACACGACTCAAAAATAGCAAGTCCCCAGGAGTGGATTGTATCCCCGCAGAGCTCATCAAACATGGAGGTAACAGCATTATGCACCAAATTCACAACATAATAGTCAAAGTCTGGGAAGAAGAACAAATGCCAGAGGAATGGTGCACTGGAATCATATGTCCACTACACAAAAGGGAGATTTGTTGGAATGTAAAAATTATAGGGGTATAACTCTTCTGAATACAATGTACAAAATATTCTCCAACACCCTGTACAGCCGTTTAAGTACGTACGTGGAAGAAATCCTTGGTGAGTATCAAAGCGGTTTTAGGCCAGGTAGGTCAACAATTGACCAGATTTTTGTGCTACGTCAAATCTTAGAAAAAACCAATGAATTTAATATTGACACATTCCATCTCTTTGTGGACTTTAAGTCAGCGTATGATAGCGTCCTAAGAGGTAAATTATACGAAGCCATGAATGAACTTAACATTCCCATAAATTAATAAGGCTCGTAAAAACAACTATGAGTAAAGTGATCTGCAGAGTGCAAATACAAGGCGATATGTCACAAGTGTTTGAAACATATGCAGGGTTACGGCAGGGAGACGCGCTGGCGTGCCAATAGGGAAACAATCTTTAATAAATCAACGCAGATTATGGCTTACGCTGACGATCTGGATTTGATCGCACGTACTACACGAGGACTTAAAGAGATGACTTCAACCTTCATGACAGCCGCACAAAATATGGGCCTTAAAATAAACGAGGAAAAAACCAAAATGTTAGCATCTATTCCAAATAACAGAGATAGAGCTAAAAACGCCGAACAAAACTTCAGTATAGACCAATACAATTTTGAGGTAGTAAATAAGTTTACATATTTGGGTTCTCTCATAACAAACGATAATGACACATCTGAAGAAGTTAAACGGAGGGTACTGCTAGCAAACAAATGCTATTTTGGACTAAGCAAGCAGCTAAAAAACAGAAATTTAAGCCAGAAAACCAAACTAATAATATATCGAACACTCATCCTACCAGTGCTGACATATGGGTCAGAAACATGAACCATCTCCAAAACAGACGCAAATCTTCTGCTCGTCTTCGAAAGGAAGATACTAAGAAGAATAATGGGCGCATTCTGTGAGAATGGTATTTGGAGAAGGCGATATAATTTCGAATTGTACGAGAAGTATAAAAAAATAGTAAATGGTAGAGATGTAATATCCTTCATAAAAATAGGTAGGCTTAGATGGGCTGGACATGTGTCAAGAGTAAATGAAAATTACCCACCCAGACGAACTCTATTATCGGTCCCAGTGGGAAATAGGAGTAGAGGCAGACCACGACTGAGATGGAGGGACGGTGTGGACGAGGACGCAAGGAAAATCGGCGCGGCAAATTGGCAACGGTTGGCGATGAACAGAAACGACTGGCGAAATAGGCTGGGGAAGGTCAAGGCTCAACTAGAGCTGTAGCACCACTGATGATGATGATTTCCTGAAGATAATCGAACCAGTATTAAACAATGTGTGAGTGAAGCTACTTCAGTATCTTTACGTACAGTAGAAAGGATCATTCAACAAGCGAATATGATAACAAACGCAGAGTCAAATAATACACTAAAATTTCCCGCTACGACACTTGCTAAAAGGAAAGCAACCGTAACAGACTTGGGGGAGTATGATAAACAGTTCATTAGAAATACCATTCATCGTTTTTATGAGACTGAACGTTGTCGTGTATCATTGAAACTTTTGGAGAAAAAGGCTTGAAGAGGTGTACGAGCCGACTAGAAGTGTGAGTTCTCTCTACAGAATTGTGAAATATTTGGGATTTATTTTATTTTGGGACGTTTATTAATTGAACGGAATGATATTATATATACGCACTAAATATTTGGACAAAATAGCTGGACAGATGACAGTGTCAAAGGATTGTTCAAAAACATTTCAAAAGGAAGTACGTTGGTTATCGTACATGATGATGAGGAGATGGGTTTTATACAGAATGCCCTTTTATTACTACTACTACTACTATCGGTTTTCAGCGTTTTCCGACTCCTAACCGCCATTCTTCTCTATACAACCATAGGCCTGGAGGGATTTCTCTTTCCTCTAGTTCTTTTTTAATTCCCTCTCTCCAGCTTCTTCTCGGTCTTCTTCTTTTCCTTCTCCCTTGTGGTCTCCACGTCAAAATCTGTTTTGGAATCCTGTCATCTGGCATTCTCTGTACATGGCCGTACCATATTAACTGTTTTGTTTTTATGTCATCAACTATTGTATGCTTGACTCCCATCATTTCTCGTATTCTCTCATTTGGTATCCGATCTCTTCTTGATTTGCCTGCTGCTCTTCTCCAGAAGTCCATTTCTGTTGCTAGTAATAGTTTTTCTGTTCTTTGTTTCATTGGCCAAACTTCACTGCCATATTATGTGATTACACTTTTAAGTATGGTGTTGTATATGAGTTGTTTGTTCGCTTTAGATATTGTTTGGTCCCACAGAATGCCGTTCATCATGGATATGGCTTTTCTACCCTGTATGTTTCTATCTTTTATAGCAGCATCGAGTGTTCCATCTTGAGTTATCTTCATACCTAAGTACTTGTATTTATCACAGTTTCTAATTTCTACCCCATCGTCTAATATAATGGACTGTTTTGTCCCTCCAATACACATGGCTTCAGTTTTCTTAATGTTGACTTCGAGACCCCATATGTTATATTCTTACCCTTTTATTACAAGATTATATTTAATATAAATTTGACAAAGTGCTGCAAGAACCTAACGTTTATTTTAAGTTAGAAGACGTACAATTTTTTTTAAACAGGAATTTGATAGAGTAACTGTAGATAACTGGAATAAAGTGTGTGAACATGTTGAACAAGGTTAAAGATAAGTATTTGGAAAGTGAACGTCGCATGTATGTAATTACTGAATAATTAAGAATTGATTTAAATTATTCTAGTGACAACGACAGTGCATCTGATTATGAAAATGAATAATATAATTTAACATTACGATGTAGCTATGTAACCTATGTGAATATAAGTTTTCGAAACTGTTCTGTATGTATGTATTATTTTTTTTACTTTATTACAATCATTTCGTATATTCTTCTATTTAACTTTGTGACGTTTAAGTGAGTAATAATTCAAAAATATAATCTAATATCATTGTTTAATAAATTGTGTGTACCTATCTTTAACAATGTAATTTAAATCATAAGTATTTGTTGGAACGCCACTGCTTTGTTTGTTGAGACTTTACAGTTCCTAGAAATTTCCGCCACTACAGTTAAAACATACTCTACCTGGCTAGCGTTAACGTGCTTCGTTTCCAGCGTCAACTTCCGATTCGACGACACTGTCAGGCGGGGAGTTTGACTGGAGCCCAAGGCCAGCTTAGCGAGAGCAGAAACCTCGCGCTAAAGAGGTGGCAAAGGGTGGCTTTATCCTAATATTCAGTATGGATAGGAACTGTGAAAGTATTGCGAAAGGATGCTCGTGACTTAAAGAGTGTTCGTCAAGAAGGGTCAGAAAAGCTACTACAGGGATAACTGATTTGTACCCAAGCGTTCATAGTGTTGTCGCTGCTTTTTGATCCTTCGGTGTCGCCTCGACCCCTATCATTGCAGGAATATTCGCCAAGTTGGATTGTTTGCTCAAAGCTGGCTTTAAACTTTTTGGCACGCACAGGTTAGTTTTACCCTACTGATGACTCGTCGTTGCGATAATAATCTTGGTCAGTACGCTTCTACAGCTGTATCTCTTAACACTAATTATATACACACTACATCTGTACATGCTATAGGGGTGCCTCATAAAAACTTAAGAAATAATGATAAATAAGACTAGCTTAGAAAAGTTTGGTTAGTTCGTTTGTTGTTAGGAAGCAAATTGTAATGTTATTCCGAAAGGAACGCAATTTTAAAAACTTTTATGTATAAAACTATGTTATTTTTATAGGATACGTTTGAATAAACCAGACCTAACTCTAGTGGTACCGGTAGAGGTTGAGGTAACTGAAGACACGGAGATCATCCATCCGAGCGGTTATGTCGACTTAGGTTTGGGCGGTCACTTGGATCACCCGACAGAAATAAACCTATGTCTGCATAACCCCAATACGAAGCACGTCAGGGTTCACAGTATCTACACCGAATCCAAGGCGCTCAAATTACAATATTACAACATCAGATTACCTCCAGCGAGAGAGACGGAAGAACAAGGGGATCAGTGCGTAGACGTCGGCACTATTATTGTTGACTGTAAGTATAGCTCTTTAAGTAAGAATATTATTATCACGCGGAGATTAAATAGGAACGGCTTTAATTGTATGCCGTCAAAAACAGAAGGCATTTGCTTTTGCCGTTATTAAAACCAAATAAATTTATGTTTTTACTTGATTTTTGACAGATATCACGCTTTGGTAAGATCATTATCCATTTCCATTAGAAACTCTTTAGATCTTCACTTTTAACTTGGATTCCGTAAATCGTCAGGCTGCAGAAATATTCTTTAATTTCTAATTCACAGATTCTGTTCTCTAGCTGTATTTTTTTTCTGGATATTTTCTTCCAGTTTTCAATGATGAAATTTTAATTTCTGCTGATTTAACCTCATTGTTTGCACATATACCACCATATTTTATTGTATTTCTATTAATTGCATCATATTTCCTACGCGAACTATCGTGGTAGTAATTTTTGATGCAAATGTTACAAACCGAAGTATCTATAACTTCTTTTTACAATTAAAACATTTTTCTGTAAATCACATTTTGCAATGTTTGCTATAACTTAGTCTCGAATGGTTTTTATTTTTGGCAATTATCAGAACCAAGTAAATTGTTTTTACTTGAATTTTTGACAAATGTCACGCTGTGGATGACAGATGTCCAAACATGTTCTCATAGAGCGCCATCTATCGAACTAAGGTTACATTATGGCCAAATTACCCTCGTATATACATAATCTTAACCATTGTTATTAACCATTGATTTGTTTTTAGGGAAGACTGCTTACGAAACCAAAGACTTTTCAGGAAAAATAACAGTAAGTTATAGAAACGGTAAGAACAAGTCGGAGATCCCGTACCATATGACCATTTTAAAGGGCGGTCTAACGTACGATCCCCTCACAACGACGTATTTTATAAACGACAAGACAGTGGATTTGTCTGCGAGATCGTTCAAAGTAAAAAACGAGTTCGACGAGTACATTTATGTCGCTGACGTTATTTTTCCCCGTGATATTCACCATTATTTTAAGGTATGTATATTTTTATGTACCTACTGCGCAAGTTCAGAAGAGCGAACCATAGTGTCATAGATAAGCGAAATTATTAGCAGTTTTAATATATTACTCGTATGTAAACTACAAATAAAATAAAAAATAAAAACATACCCTAACCTAAACTTGTTTATTTAAGGCTGTTTTATCGGTGCACCAAAATCTAGGGACTGTTATTTACCGACAAAATGTCTCGAAATTTGGACACAATATTCGAAATTATGTTGCTTTTAAAATGGTGGTTTTACTTTTTTTATTTTTTTGAAACTTCTGTTGAAAAATTGGATTATGCTGTTTAACGTTCTATTATAACCAAACTTTTTACGTCTATCGCTTGAAAAAGTTTTTTTCTGTAATCGTTGATTTTTTTCACCTTTCTATGTCCATTAATAATCGAGAAAAGCGTGTTCCAACTTAGAAGAAAATTGCTAAAAAATACTAAAATCTAATAGTGAAACGTGTTACTCATCATTGTCGCTTAGATTCGCCGTTATCGCCTTCGTGACGTGAAATCTCATGAACGTACGGTCAGTTAGTTCGTGTTAAAACTAATTTGAATGGAGAGTAATGCATTTGTTGTCATTAAACTACCGGTTGACCGGCGCCACTGAGTAAAGATAGTCTCGCGTAAGCAGTGTAGAAATGTAAGTGATACGCCCATTTCAAATCGCAGTGTGCTTGAACTGCTAAAACAGCCTTAATACAATAATTATTGTAATTTAGATCAATATTAAACTTCAAAAAAATTTTAATGGATTTTTAATTGTAAAAATGGGTAAATATATTTTTACGTTAAGATTTCATCATTTGAACATCAAAAGGTAAATTTTGAACATTAATTATTTGAACATTAAAAGGTAAATCTTCCATTTCGGAAGAGCGACACTTACAGCCGGTTTCCGAAAGGCTGATCATTATCAAAATTAGGTAATCTACTGTTAACAGTCGATTAAATGCATTTTGAGTTGCAGAAACATCGATCAAACTTCAATCACATAACACACATTAACTAATCTAACAAACAAATAATCGATGATTAACAGACAACGCTAATTATCGTTTTATCTATGTCAAACAACTGTCATACTAGCTTGTCAGGTAATCTGAGATTTTTGGACGATTAATCTTATAATCTTTGGTTATGTATCAATGGTTGTAAGTAAATAAAATAAAATCTTTGGTTACGTTGTAAATACATAAACCTAAGGTGTTTTATAAAAACCTGTTGTTTAGAGAGAACTCAAAAATATTGTTACAAAGGTAAACAATTTACTAATATTTCATATTAAATTATGATGATGATTGATAAATGACAAATTTGCAATCATTAACAAACGACACAAAATTAATAGTTAGGTTATGTTTGTTTGTTGATTTTCAGAATGCAGATTACACATAAACAGAAATGACGGTAGAGTGAAACAGTAAGATTACTTTCTTAATTTAGAGCAAGATAAAGAACAATTCGTACAGAAATAATAAACGATTATAATCGATTCTACAGTTTCCATGTAAAATCGTATGTCAAATAATCTATAATCGGTGATCACCTAATTTAACCATAATTTTCGTTTCGGAAACCTGTCGCTTGTTAACAGTTGATCAAATTTGACACTTGATTACATGATTGGAGATTTGAATAACGTTTCGGAAACCGGCCGCTAGTGTCATAGATCAGCGGACGTTTCAGTAAACTACAATTAAAATGACTAACTTGTTTATTTTATGCAACAATTATTGTAATTTGTATTAGAGATCTACTTATCTCTTTGTATTCATTTTTGCTTTTAATTTGGAGATAAACAGAACTTGAATTGACTATTTCTTGTTATAAATTTATAATACATTTACGAAATCCCACGTACGATCGTTTCTCTTATCCCCTCAAGTACTTGCAAACAGCGAATAATAATGTTCTCGAACTCCTAAGTGTAACATAGAGCTTCGGTGAAATCGCGTTATTTTGTCCTATTTTGCGCTACGGCCTTAACCTCGTTCCAAACTTTCTTTGGCCTTTTATCTCATCCATAATTGTACTTCTCACAACTTTGTGCTGGGCGTCTTCCTTTTCCTTGCGGTTACATTATAGGATAGTCTTTGCAATACAAAAGCTATTTTTACGAAGTTTGTGGCCGATCCAACCCTACTTTCTGAACTTTATCCAAAAAATGCTAACAGTTCTCCGTAGTCATTTGTTAATCATTGTTTGTCTATAAGGGCTTTTTATCACTTTCCAGGTATCACATCCGTAGAGTAGAACAGACTTGACATTCGACTGGAATATTCGAATCTTTATTGTAGTATAATGACCAGACCTCTAAAACGGGGCTGACCATGTTAAGCTTTTCGTATTCTCATACGAATATCGTCTTCCACGCCTCCGCTTGTACGTTTCAGGGTATGAACATACAGAAGATACATGAATGTGTGCGACGTAGGTCGCGGTCGATACATCGATATTAAAACAAACTCTCATTTTCTTATGAGATCACACATACCAAGGATGTGTGATTCACCCGTTCATCTTCGCTATTCATCATCGCGGTTTACAGTGATGTCGATGCCAGAACAAAATAGTTTGTATTAAATCGCGATCGACCTATTGATCTCATGGTAAATTACAAGTTTATTGGTGGTTTTCAAACCTTGTGACATTCGTCGGAGATACATAATAAATATACTGAAATGTATCCAGACTTATTCTCTTATAAGCATAAATGTGTCTGAGTGGTGTTTCTTAAGCTCTTTAAATAGGTGATGCTATTTTCCTGGATACTGCTTTTTTTGTTGAAATCTGGCGATTTAAAGGATTATAAATGATCCACTACTTTTTACTTACAGACATACATTTATTGTCGTCACTGCTTTCGCTCATGTACTTAATTTTATAATGTGAAAAAGCTAACCTTCCCGGAACACATGTCAGTCACCTCAAAAACCTCAAAGAACACTGAAAGGAAGGTATCTTCCGTATGTTCTGCTCATCATCGATGTAAACCTCGACCGCGACTCCGACCTCCACCGCGCACATCTTTGGTATTTTCGTACCCTTAGTCTTCAAATGATTTGGCAATAGGCTTCTGAATTGATTGCTTCACCCCTAGCTATAAGCTCTACGTAAATTAAACCTAAATTAAACCCTTACGGTCCCAAAAAACAGTTGCCATCAGTTTTCTTGTGTTCAGATTTGGTTTTTCTTGTTTAGTTTTTTTTTTTTGAGGGCGAGTTTGCATGATGCCACATGGATTGTCGCTTTGTTTAAAAATTTTTGTAAGAAACTGAAGTTTCGTCTACCGTTCCAATACGGTCGAGAAATTGGTCACCATCATTATCATGTCTCCATTGGTTTTGTCTTATGGACTTCAGTCTTCCGGGTGCACATTTTATATAGCCAAGAAGCTCATTTATTATTTCATGTGGGATCGAGAAATTTGTGGAAAAGAGTCATCCAGTATTGTTAAAGTGAATCATTGGGTTTTCTAAATTTTATCGTAAACTGTTTTATTCACTTCTCTGTCGCAAGAGATGGTCTCCCACTCCGTTCTTTATCGTGCACACTGGTTCTTTCTTAGTTGAACATAATGCACCATTTCATCACTGAAGATTCGTTTATTACGAAATCACTAGAATGTAATAGACCAACATTTTTGTGCTTGATTGACTTAAGAAAGCATTTGACAGAGTAAGACTCAAAGACGTAATTCATATTTTTTAAAATAGATACATATTGAAAACATCTACCAAATATAAACTATATTTGGTAGATGTAGAACTATATAAACTATAGATATTAAAAATATCTACCAAAACAACAAAATGGAAGTCGGAATAGATGGATAACTTACAGAACCTATAGAAATAGGCAGCGGAATAAGACAGGAAGACTCATTAAGCCCTATGCTCTCTAATTTAATCATGGATGAAATCATTAAAAGCGTTAAAAAAGGCTTTTAATGGTTTAGAATAAAATTTGATAAAGCGTTAGAAAACTAAAACAATAGTAATAAGCAAAGAACCAACCAGATGTAAAATAGAAATTGATGGCAACAATATTGAACAAGTAATGGAAATAAAATACCTTGAGCTTACACTATCCAGCTATGGGGACCTGAACAAAGAAGTGAGAGATCAAGTACAAAAAGTAAATAGATTGGCAGGATGCTTTAATAACACTATATGACGCGACATACACATTAACATTGAGATGAAGTCAAGAATTTATAAAGCCAGTGTAATAATGGCATGTGCCTCAGAAACAAGATCCGATACAGCCACAACACAAAGCTTACTGGAAACATCAGAGATGAGAGTACTGAGAAGAATTACAGGAAACACGCTGAGAGATCGAAAGAGAACTGAAGACATTAGAAGAAAATGTAACACACAATGTGTAAACGAATGGACGCTAAATAGAAAAAAGAATGGAATACCCACATAAGCAAAATGCGCGAGAAGAAGTATCGGACGACACGACCGCGCAAAAGTTGAAATGACCGCCAATGAACAACAGAATTGCTTATAGAGAGAAGAAGAAGAAAAACCAAATCACACTGCTTACTTCAAATTTTGCGGGATTTTTAATGAGCGCCGCCATTTTAAACTATATAAGAACCGTAGGCTTATATAATAAAATAGACTGAGCCAGTCGGCAATTTTCAATGTCAACAAGATCTTTCAATTAATTTCTAGTTTTACCCTCTCTCTCTCTCTCTCTCTCTCTCTCTCTCTTTCTCTCTCTCTCTCTTCTCTCTCTCTCTCTCTCTCTCTCTCTCTCTCTCTCTCTCTCTCTCTCTCTCTCTCTCTCTCTCTCTCTCTCTCTCTCTCTCTCTCTCTTTGAATCCAAGTGGGAGTAGTGATCAGTGTGTCAGGGGTTTTATATATGTTCATGATTTATATCTATCCGTATAACCACTCCAATTCCCCCACCTCCGTACAAAAAGACAGAGGCAGAGGAAAAAAAATTAAGGAAGATGGTCTCTTCTTTTGCCTGACGGAATGCACAGTCTATTTTTCTATGTGTCTATGTCTAGAACAAAGACGTGTGACTACAGAACACAGTAACAAAACTTGACACGTGTCTCATACTGGTGCGACAACTCCAATATCTCTCTGTCTCCCTCTATCTCTCTTTTCTCTAAATCTAATTTTATAACTAGAACTATCACGTCACTTGAATTTATACTCACCCTTGTGTTTTCTTTCAGATTCAGAGCCTTTGGCCGAAGGTGATAAAACCAGGCGATGAAACTAATTTATTTAATATTAAGTTAAAAAACAACATTAGGCTATCAGATCTCCAATTGCAATCATTCATTCTTTTAAAAACGAACATTTCGCACGTGCGGGTTTCCTTAGTCAGTTACAATGGGAAGCTGCAAGTGGTAAGTATATTTATTTAATTTTTTGTAATGTTTAAGTGGTTTACATGATTTTTAAATAGACATAGGCGAATATGTACATAAAAAATGGAAAGAATACGCATTAATATGCTTGTATGTATATACATAACTTGAATATGCTTCGAATTATAACAAATCTATATTAGAAACAGCAGGCACACGTACGCATTAATGAACACACATCAGAAGAATTCGAAGTTAAAAGAGGAGTGCTACAGGGGTGTGTATCGTCACCACTACTATTGAATGCATACTCTGAAGAAATTATGAAAAGAGCTCTTGAGGGAGCAACAGCAGGAATCAAGGTAAATGGAACACCAATTAACAACATTAGATATGCGGACGATACTATCATAATAGCAGACAACCTACAAGACCTCCAAAAGCTAATGAACAAGATAGTTGAGTATGGAGAAGAATATGGATTATCAATAAACACCAAGAAAACCAAATTTATGAGGATATCAAAAACCCAAAATAATGGTGAAAGCCTGACAATTAACAGTAGTGCTTTAGAACAAGTTGAAAACTACCACTATCTTGGCACAATAATTAATCACACAAACGATTACTCCAAAGAAATCAAAGTTCGAATAGAGAAAGCACGTACAAACTTCAATAAAATGAGAAAGGTACTTTGTGGAAGAGAACTAAAATTGGACTTGAGAGTTAGGCTGGCAAGGTGTTATACTTTCTCGACTCTGCTTTATGGGATGGAAGCATGGACACAACGCGTCGACTTCTAAAAAGTTGGAACCATTTGGGTGTATAAAAGAAACCTGAAGATATCATGGACCGAGCATGTAACAAACAACGAAGTCATGAGAAGAATCAACAAAAGAATGGAAGTATTGGAAACCATCAAGACACGAAAGCTGCAATACCTGTGGCATGATATGCGTAATGAGAGATACAACATACTTAAATTGATTATACAAGGGAAAATCCAGGGCAAGAGAAGTGTAGGAAGAAGAAGAATCTCATGGTTGCGTAACTTGAGGGAATGGTACGGATGCACATCAATTAAACTATTCAGAGCAGCAGCATCTAAGATCAGAATAGCCATGATGATTGCCAACCTCCGTCGCGGAGATGGCACGTGAAGAAGAAGATGTATATACATAAGAATTATAAAGTTTTTGCAAACATCTAGCGAACCAACTATATATACAGCATAAAGTATCGGATTTAACCTATAAATGAAGCCACATGCGATTTAGAAACAAATATCTTTCAAACGTCATATGTCAAATTTTGAACACAGTCGGGTCATCAGTTTGCAAATTACAGTGCTTTTTAAAATAGAAACATCTCTTGTGTTAATATTTTGCACAACTGTTTGATTTTTCTCGTGTCTCTGAAAATTATGAATGACTAAAAAGTCATAATAATGTCTTTATATTCATGATTTTGTTATATATTTTTTTAGCATTTGCCATTTAAAAGTAAGGATTTTTCTTTGGAAATCGGACTTCTGGGCTTCAACACCAAGAAAGAAGTCTATTTTATGATCGTCAACCATAATCCCGTTACACTGAACGTAAAACACGTTCATTCTTCGATTCCAATGACGCACGCAGATATTTTAGGATGCGGTTCGGGAGATTTCAGACTGGTGTTATTTTCTCCTTCATTTCAGAATCTCTCTAAATGTGTAAGTATATATTTGTTTTATTTGTGTATTCTTGCAATTTTGTAAAATAATCCCCAAATCTACTGAACCACGGACACCTATCGACAAAGTAGGTTCCACGCCTACAAGGAACTTATAATTATTGTTAGTCGAATTATTAGAAATGTTCAAAGTAATTTCATATCTTTGATTATCTAGCCATATTCCAGTTCAACTACTGGCATTTGCTTAAAGGAAGCATCACAAGCTAACGCAAATAAGTTGTCTTAAAAGAGTTTTTATTGAGAAATCCTTTACCGTACTCTACTTTTCTATAATTACCAGCAATATTAATGCTTTTATAACAACCTTGATTGTCGTTGAGATGCGAGTCAGGCAATAATCTCTTCGGGCGTTAAATGTAGAACGTCGTTGACTCCACCTTGGATGCCAAATATGTAAAAATTGTTGGCCCCACGTTGGGCGCCTAATGTATTACGTAGTATCCACATTATACAGCGTCTCACACTAACTCATTCTTTAGAAGAAATGTATGTCTCTTCTTATATAAGCTTAATACAGACAATGTTAAATATAAGAAAAATTTTAAAAATAATGTAATAAAATACTTGACAAGTTAACGTCTTGTTTGTATGTTATCATATTTGCTGAAATAAAATGTGCTTAAGTACTACACTATTTGATTCATTTTTCTTAAATATCATGTTAACGTTTTTCATAAAGAAAAGTTTTATTCTAATTTCGGATGGAATAAACTGTTAACACGTAAACAGACGAAACATATATTTGCAATACATCGTATGGCAAACATACATGATATGATAAAAAATGTCCTTATCCGATTGAATCGATTGTTAGTAATCGATTAAAATCGATGTTACAATCAAATGTATGTTTATATACGAGGGTTATGATATAATTAATAATAATAATAATAAATACGTTAGAGGACAAAATTATTCCAGTAACAAGAAAATGTAAGAAAATTTGTGAAAAATGTGGGCGCTAACTGTTTTTACTAGAAAAATAGTATAATGTGTAATAAAGATTTTTTTTTTTGGAAAATATACACAAAGAAAAATATTGTTGCGTGTAAAAATATTGTAACGGTGCTATACCAATTCTTGCGATTATTTATTAAAAATTCTACTTATGCATATGTACCATTTCATCTCTAGTAACGTTTTTTTAAACTTAATCTCACAATGGATATGAACCGTTTTAAATATTAATTCTTACGGAAAATGATCACGAGGAAACATTAACACGATCTTAGAGCTGCTTACGATGAATTTTCTTTCTTCTTCCTACTAATTTTTATTAAACTGTTCGTTATATAACTAAAAATATATATATTTTAGCATAATCTCAAAGCAGGACATTATGCTATAATAAAAGTCACCATTACAACGACTCAAGTGGAAGGGCAAGTATGGGGAGACATCTACGTGGAAACTCAGTTCGAGAATTTGAAAATCCCAGTTCATTTTAAAATAGCGCCTGGAAAGTTGGAAATCGGAGCTGATAAACTTGTGTTCGATCAATGCTTTCCGGTGAGTATTTGATATTTTGTTTTGATATATTTTTGTTTTGATATATTTTTGTTTGAATCCAACTACGAGTTAGAGATAAAAATTATAAAAATAGCACATAGATGGCGCTGTATAGATGAAATAATAACTGTTTTGTTATTTGGCACACTTCAAAATCAAGTAGTTCAAATGTATCAACTTGTTTTACAACGTAATATTAGTAAGAAATACATCAACTTAGGTTGTTATATATTTGGTTTCACCTTATGTGTGTTTCAGGGCAAATTATGCACTCACCCCTTAAAGGTGCACTCGAGTTTTAACGATCCGATGGTAATAGAAGACGTTATTACGTTGCCACCTGACAAGAGGATAAGCAGTCGACTTACAAGCCATATTCTCGCCAAAACTTCGAAAGTGGTAGGTCACGTCTTCTTAAATGCTGAGTTGGGATGTCATCCCGAATGTTACACCGGGCTGCAAAGCGATACAACAGGTAAGGAATATTTAAATGTATTAAATCAAATCAATCTAGTGGATAATTTGAATCCATTAAAAAAATGTAATATATAATGAGTTGATAATACCTTAAGACCAGCAATAGATGCTTTTGGATCTTTATCAATACCCTGCTGAAAGTCTGCAATATTTTCAGATGTATGTGTGGACGTACATATTTTTGACCGTCGCTACCAGTGTCTTTAAATAGCTTTGAGAAAACTTTTAAACCCGTTTTATTTAAACATCATCTCAGGATGTCCTTGTCAAGGACATTCTTCTGTTCATTCTTCAGCGCACTCTAAAATTTTATACTGCCATTCGTTATTTACTTTTACGCCTCTTCTCTTTCTCATTCCTTGAGCTTTTATCAGGACTTGGTGACACTAAATATTGTTAGCTTGCCGTTTCCATTGGCTTCGATCCTGTGCCAGATAAACCCCTTCATAGGCATTTTCCCACCAGAGTCTTCATTTGGTCTGCCTATCGTATTGGAAGCCCATCACGCCTGTATGGAAGTCAAATTTTTAGTTTTACTTTGTGCTATGGGTTGAATAAAAGATAAAGTGAAGCAAAAGAAAAAGAAGCAACGGAAAGATGCGAAGAAATTGAGACTCTGTAGTCAAAGTACGATAGTCACAATGTACATAGGAAAGTTAAAAAACTCACAGGAAGACTAAGACGAAAGCAGAAAGGAAATATAACTGGTTCTGACGGAAATATCATCTTGGACAAACAGAGAAAAATAAGAACGTGGAAATAATATCTAGAAAAACTATTTGAAGACCAAAGAGATAACACCTTTCAGCTAGCAGAAGAGGTAAATGATGAAGAGGTAAATAATACAGTTAAAGGATGGCAAAGCGGCAGGCCCTGATAGTATACAAGCAGAACTACTCAAACTAATGGACAACGAATCAATAGCAATAACCGCAAAGATATTCAACAACATATACAACTCTGGATAAATATCAACAGAATGGCTGAAATCTGAGTTTATTGCACTTCCAAAAAGACCAGGAGCCAAAAAATGCGAAGATTAACATCCTGTAAACCTCATGAGTCATCTCCTAAAATTGTTCCTAAAGATAATTTATAAGAGAATCTACAAGCTCTGTGAAAGTCAAATTTCCCCAAACCAGTTCGGGTTCACAAATGCTGTTGGTACTAGAGAGGCTTTGTTTTCAGTACAAGTCTTATTCCAGAGATGCAGAGACCGGCTGAACAACATCAGATATGCAGATGACACCGATGGGGGCCTTCTTCAAGAGTCACAACCTCTCTCTTGATACAAAAGTAAGAATGCTGCGATGCTACGTCTTCTCTGTCCTTTTTTATGGTGTTGAATCGTGGACCTTGTCGAAGATATACAGTATTGGAAGATTCAAAACGGAACATACGAATTATTAATACAATTATTAAGATCCCCTGACCTGCAATTACCCAGTGTAAATTTCAATATAACGTCGCGATGTCTTATAATTAATTCATTTGTTCGACTGGATTGCTACTCCTTGGCGATTTCTAGTAGCGTATTCGACAGGTGTACGTCGACACTGTTGTCTATCGTCCACTGATTTTCTGTGTTTTTGTGCAGATAATAACAATGTTTTATTAATAACAATTTTTTTGTGTTCATTAGATATTATTTGAATTGGTTAGTGTATAGTTTAATATATTTATTATTCCAAATATTGTTGATAATTTAAAATTTAAAAGGATGTATATGATACATCAAAATCTACAGATTTTTGCCGAAGGTATCTATCGATTTGGCAACAGTCCCAAGGAACATCACTGGCCGAGCAAAACAAATACATGCCCTTTGCTTTGCTTCTCATTATAACGCCATAAGCTGAAATAAAAGTAGTGTTTCTAACCATAAACCATGTATACAAACAAAGAAAAAGTACAAATTTTAAAATGGTATTATGGGGGCAACTCGTACCGTGATATTATAAATTTATTTACTTGTGCGTATGAAGATAGGCCAATACCGACACAAATTGTGTCCACAATCAACTATTAGTCGTATTATTAAGGTGCGCACGTGCGCAGCAGTCGAAAAATATCGACTATAGAAGGAGTCCAGTCGAACAAATGAATTAATTATAAGACATCGCGACGTTATATTGAAATTTACACTGGGTAATTGCAGGTCAGGGGATCTTAATAATTGTATTAATAATTCGTATGTTCCGTTTTGAATCTTCCAATACTGTATGCAAAAAACTTGAAGCATTTGAGATGTGACTACATCGGAGAATACTTAAGATCCCGTGGACTGACCGAGTCACAAATGAGGAGGTCCGCAGAAGAATGAATAAGAACCGAGAGGTACTGACTACTATTAAATCTCGAAAGTTACAATTATTCGGACATATTATGCGAAATGAATCCAGATATGCTCTCCTTCAAGCCATCCTGCAAAAAAAAAATATTTGGAAAGCGAGGTCCAGGAAGAAGAAGAACATCTTGGTTAAAGAATCTCAGAATCTGGTACAATACAACATCTGGCAGCTTTTCCGCGCTGCTGCAGATAAATATTGCCATGATGACCGCCAACATACGTAACGGATAGACACATCAAGGAGAAGAATGGGTTGAATATCGAAAATATTTTATGCTAATTAGAACAGTTCTTGAGGGCTCAATATAGTTTAGTTTAAGTGTTAAAGTATCACGATTAAATTTTTATGATGCTGGTCTTAGAGTTGACGTGTTTACACCACTATTGTCATATCTCGTAACTTATATAGTCTAGGAAGTTGAAGAATGAACATACATGATGTAACAATGGAATAAATGTTATGCGGAAAGCATTTGATATCGGTATCGGCAATTTAACTACGGTATGGGATTTGAAATGGTACTTGAAATTTGAGTATGTTTATGGTTGAGTATTTGAGTCCTGAAATAACTAAAAATAAATCGTCGGTCGGCTGAATTGAAACGTACGACTTCTTGTACGACTAATCTCCTGTAATATTTTTTAATGTAAGTAAGAGAGTCTTTAATACATGTCTTCTTTCATTGTTCATGTTTTTCAATTAAAAAATTTTTCGATAATTTAAAAATATCTTAATTTTCTAATGACATATGTCAATTGTCATCTTCGAAAAATCAGTTAAATAGTTGGCACTCGATTTTGCTCACTCTACCTGCTGCTTCAACTGCAGTACAAATGGTGGGGTTCTTACACCCGTACCATAACCAAATTTTTTCATGTTTTTTTTTTCTGGAGTCCAAGTGTACAGTCCTTTGTGTGCTTTTCCATTGTTTAAAAAAGAAAAGAAAAAATAGAACCAGCAATTTTCTGCCTTCCACATGATCTCTCCTAATAGGATACTTTATATTTGACGTAAGTGAACATTGTTAAATCAAAATTAGTTATTTACATCACTGCTCTCTTGTAGCATAGCTCCGAAAATGGCTTTTTAGTCCGAAAGCGCTCAGCTAGGAATTAAAATCTTTTACACACTTCAAAAATACTTCCCCTTTTCCAACTTTTGATTTTTCATAAGTGTGTACAAAAACATATCAGTCTTTTCGTTTATTTTTTTAATGATACTATTTTGTACGGATTTTATAACACTTGTCTACCAGATCTTGGTCTAGAAATTGTCTTAGGTATTATAGAGCACTTAATATTTATTACGTTACAAGATGTACGGATATGTTCATTTTTTGGACTTCCAACCTTGAAAAGCAAAACATACTCAGTATAGTATTGTATTGACAATAGCCAACTTTTTTTTTCAGCACAATGGTTGAAGATGTTTTCGCTCTCTAAGTTCGTGTACGACTTCGATTTACATCTAGTCAACACATTCTACAACAGGTACTTAAACCTAACCGCAAACGGAACCAAACGATGGCAAAATATATCCATGCGGCTAGATACGTCAGAAGTAAGAGGTCATGTCTTTAAGTCAAGAGTAAAAATGAGTTGGCCGAGTCTGTTGGTCGATAACAACCTGGAAAACAAATCTATCATAGTGTTTCCTCGGACACAAGTGGGGAATATGAGCTATCATAACATCACTATTCGTAATCCAGCCAGTGTTACTATAGTGGTACAGATGGTATTAGGAAGCGATTATCCCAACTATCTAGATCTGTTGGCAGGCTTGCCGCCCAATCTTGACGTCGAAAGTATATACGATAGATTTTTCACTACGGGATTTTTCTTTCCTAATGACACAAGGCACGAACAAATCAATTATTTTAATGAAATGCTAGGGGTAAACGTGCATCCAGAAAGCATCCCCGTTTTGTTACCCCCCGGAGAAACATTTACGTTTCCCGTGGGATTTTACGCGGAAGACGGACATTGCCATTCGGCTGTAGTATTACTAAGGAACAATCTTACGATTTTAGAAGTTGTCCGGTTGAATGCTAAGGGTGTGCAACCTTTGTTTAAGTTTGGCAATCGAAAACCAGGCTCCTTGCAACCACTAACGTTCGAGATGACCGAGAGACACTTCAGGGATTGCGAGAAGCAAAAATTTTACACAGGTGATCCGAATTTTACAGTCAAAAGAACTTTTACGGCAAGGAATATCGGGGACGTGACCCTGTATGTGAATTCGTTTCACATAAACGAATATCCTTGTGAAGGTTATGGCTTTAAGGTCATGGATTGCGAATCATTCGTATTGTACCCCAACCAAACAAAGAAGATAGATATAGCATTTACGCCAGACTTAACACTGTCGAAAATTTCTCGAACGTTACAGTTAGGTACCAGTCTGAACATGCCGGTGAATTACACCCTGTACACGACGATACCATCGTTATATCTATCGTTGTGCTCAGATCTGATAGCAAGACCGACTTGGGAGGTCTATTTAAGTTATTTAGCAGTGGTCGCCATGTCACTGCTTCTATTTATTATCGTATCCGTAGCCACTCTTGACGCTGAGCGTATCAAAAGACAAGCTATGGATTCCTTTATCTTCCCCAGCAATTCTGCAGTCCAACCCGTTCTCGATTTGAGGTTGGTGGGTCAGCAAATCAGGGAAGAAATACAGTCGCAGAAAGCTGTGACCGTTAGTAAAGAGGAAACCAAATCGGACCAGGTTGAGAAGGAAGTAACAAAAGAAGAGGTTCCGGAAATTAATTCTAAACCTGAGGTGGAAAGATATACGGTGCTGGTTCCTACGACCGGAAAGGCCAAGAAAAAGTTGGCCAAACGGAACAGTAACGAATCATCTCCGGTAGATGGGAGCTATATGCAGGTGGCTGACAAAGTGGAGAAGAAGAAGGAAAGACATCCGGAGCCGAAACATAAAGTTAAAGAGACTAAAGACGAAAAGGAGGTTGTGAAAGTAGAAGAGAAAGAAAAGAAACATGTACAAAATAATATTAAGGAAAAAGAGGTAAGTAATTTCGCTTATTTTGAGATTATTTTCAATTATATGCTGGTAAAAAATTGCACATCAACTATAATTGTTACAGGATATTAAAATTACAAATTAAATCGAATTTAACGCTAAAGGCAATTACATTTTTGGTGTGAAAATTGATAAAGCAATATTTATAATTAATAGCACAATTTTATGGTCGAATTTAAATCCACTTGAGACCTGAAATTTTACACACAACTTAGGCTGGATTTATAGTTTGACGGACTGTAGACGTAGACGCACTGGAGACGTAACAAACGTACTGTCACAGCCACCTTTACTTCCAAGCCATGAAGTAAAAAAGGCAACACCGCATTCTATGACGTCGGTAGTCCGATAATCAGCTGTAAGGTCTACCAGAAAATTAAACTAATTTGAATTTTAGGAAACTGATATTTTGAAAACTTCAATTCATTACAGAAATATTTTTAGGGAAATTAAATTAATAAAACCCTATATTTACCTAATAAATATATATAAAGTTTTATTATTATTTAGGTTATATTATCAATAAAATAATCACTAGAGTAAAATTTATTGCACTTAAAATACAGTGTCAAACAGTTAATCTTACAATCAAATGCAGTCAAGAATCTCTAGAAATTTTAAATATTAAGTACTTAAGCATATAAATAACACAATACATTAACACGACATTTAAAAAGATTATTAAAAATACAAAAGATATAAAATTTGTTTAGTAAAAATTTAGTGTAACTATTATGATTAAAAAATTCATCATAAGAAATCAGACACAATATAAATATGGTTCTAAATTAATCTAATTCAAAATTAAATATTTTACTATTTACTTATAACTTTTGTTGAATTTTCATACTTAGGTATACGAAAGTAGCAATTTTAAATATGAATAGGTTTTTTGTCATATAGACCAAGTTAAGCGAGGTATACATGAAAAATGTGGTGAATGTAACATACCATTTATAACTTGTATATCGATTTAAAATAGCCTATATTCTCAAAAGATTTTTGAATGTAATACTCAAATTTGTTATCACTTGTCTAAAAAGCAGATCTAAATGAGAAAGTAAGTTCTCTAATTGTGACCATCTTGTTAATTTACTATATTGTAAAATCCATTTCAAATCATTACTACTTAGTCTATTCTTACCTACATTGACGATTACACTAAAATTACTGCTAACTATTACACTATTTATACTTATTACACAAATATTATCACACTCGTGTCCCAACTGATTAATGTTTAATACCTAGAAATATACAGTCACTTGTAATTTTACTTGTCCAGTTTTTCAATGGGATATTATTGTCTAAGTCTAATTGTCATAATTATGTTATCTCTTGTTCCCTCTTCTTATGCAAAGAGTTTCTTCTGTCTTCGCGATTCCTTCTTTATTTAGTACGATGAACAGTTACATATGATGGTACTTCAGGAAATATATTAGGAACTGCATTGCCGTTTAATTAGGGAAATATTAACTTTTCAATGTGTATATTTCCATCTTTATCTTCTCATTGTTCAGTCCGCTGAATATCATCTTCATGAAAATGTTTGGCACATACTACGGAAGATTTGTTAATTGTATAGCCGTCTCTATGAATAGAGCATAACCCAGTATACCTTCTTTGGGGATCTTTGGGAAACGAAAACGTACTTTCTGCCTGTTTCGTTTTTAAAGTACTGGCATAATTGGTTTTGCAACCAGGTACACAACAATGCCAGAGCATCTCTAACAAAAAACAAAAGTATTATTATTGTTGTTTTTAGTTTACATATTTTGTAACAAGAAGCAAAAGTATTATTATTTTCAGTTTGCTTTGTAGGTTATATTTATACTTGCCTTACTTGTCGTTAAGAATCTTCTAAAAGTTCTAAATTTAATGAAATTTCACTTATATTAATATTTTTTAATTGATTTAAACACAATTTACAAATAAAACATTCGAATAAAGTTAAAAAAACACTAAATTCAACAAACTTTACAAGCCTTCCTTTATGAAATATTAAACAAAACAAACCACAGTCGGACTACCACGCGTTGTTGCCAAATTTCTACTTCATGGCTTGGAAGTAAAGGTGGATGTGGTACTGTAAATATTATTTCAATTTATAAATCGACGGAGTGGAATTTTTGCGCATGAGTAGAAACATTGGTTAGAGTTGGTCACCATAATACTATGATATGCTTTTATTATTTATTATTAATATTTTATAAATTATTAACTTACCATCCATTAACAAATAATCAACAAAATTCCGAATATGTTGATAAACAACTTTACAAAATGGAGGGCGGGCCACTTTGGCTGACAGCATAAAATTCTTCTTTATGATTGGCCAGACGCAAGTAACGCACTATATAAATAAGAGTACACAAAATTCTATGTTGATCTTTTTCCAGTGCGTCTACGTTTACAGTCCGTCAAACTATAAATTCAGCTTTAAGACTGATGTAGTTCCTGTCACGGCACGGCACGGAGAAAAAACATTGTATATTTCCGTGATTATTCCTGAATAAAAACCAACATATTACATTATTAAAAAATATTTATATATTCAGAAAGTATCTTCATGTACAGATACTTAATGAAATGTCAAAGTTGCCCGTGTAGTTTTTAAGGGCAAGCGCGGTAATTCTAATCAAAAGAACAATAATTGATGTTAAGGATCTTCTTCTTCTTGTAGTGCCTATCCGTTTCGGATATTGGCGACCATCATGGCAATCTGCACTTTGCAAACTGCTGCTCTAAAAAGATTTGTGGTTGTTGTGTTGAACCACGTTCGTAGATTTTTCAGCCAGGAAATCCTTCGCCTTCCTGGTCCCAGTTTTCCTTCTTCTTTTCCCTGCAAGATTGTGTTTAGGTTAATTGATGTTAAGGATGCTGTAGTATTTTGTGCCCGAAAAGCAAAATATATAAATATAAATTTTTGCCTGTACCACTTCCAATTTCACTTTTGCTTAGATATTATACTTTTGTACCATCGATGGTGTCGTGCTTTGTTGATGTGTAGTTTGGGTGGGGGTGGAACGATGAATATTGACGGCGAGAGCTAAATTGATGAACGAAATTTTATTGTGGTTGGGGAATTGGAGAAAGGTCTTCATCTTGAAGACAACCGGTCGTTTGTTGAGATAATTAGGCCTTTTTGGATCTTATTAGCTTCTTGGATAATTCTTATAATCCTAATATAGAAACGGAAGTAGGCTGTAGTTCTAGAATTAAAAAAATTGACCTGTATAGACATGATCGTTGGCTGGGCAGATATTCAATGGAATTGCCTAGTAGTGCTAGTTTTGTGTCCACCGTCTTACATATGTCAAAATTACCCGTAGACGCAGAATAATAAACAATCAGAATGCCCACTCTCAGATGCCGCCTTTGAAGTTTGTCAGCACGTGAACGTCATGTTTTAGACGGAAATATAGACTCGAATTGAGAAATTTGTGACAAGCTACGACAGAACTGTAATTTAAATTTTTAGAGATTAGTAATTTAGCACATTTGAAATAATTTAGTCTATTCTTCAACTAAAAGTACAAATAAAATAGTGCATATTATGTCTGCAGTTGCCGTAAATAAATTAAACCGGGTTAATTTGTCTATGCACACCAGTTAAAATGTCGCGGAACAGCACTGGTTCCGACTAAAACATGGCTGATTCCGTCTGCGCAAACGAGATGCGCGTACTTATTTTCATTCCATTTCAGTCCTCAATTTTTTCGTTAGAGCAGGATTATCTCCATATAGGTCACAATATTGATTTTAGTCTGTTTTAGGATTACCCTAGAAGCCATTGGGATCGAACAACATCCCAATTGTCTCAATAAAAAAGATCTTCAGATTCTAAAAAAAAAACCTTCAAAGTGAAGACCTTTCCTTAGTCAGAATGTCCAACTTTCGGCCATCAATCAAGTCCCCTCTGTCAAAAATCTTTGTTCCATTTCCCTCTCGAGCTCCACATCAACGAAACAAGAATAAAAGTAGCATTTCCGAATCCAAACGACAGTCGTATACAGAAGTTACTATATATACTAGCATGATACTATGACTAATAAGATAGGATCTTCCCGTAGTTCAAAATCGGTCGTGTTCGCGCTTGTCGCCATTTGAGAGTAGAATTTGAATTCTTGTTAAAGTTAAATGGGATTTGTATGCATTCTGTGATGAAATTATTCAATTAGCAAAATAATGTTAAATGACTTTTTTGTTTTATTTGTGTACAAAAGATAATAATATAATATTTACAAAAAATATAAGAAGAAACTAGACGAAAATAAGATAAGAGGTTTAATAATTACAATAATCGTACACATAAGGATATCTCCAAACTATTTATTAAAGATTATTTATTGATACATACAAAAAACTGACATTACGAACGTGCAACTCTCCAATTACGTCACGACTTTGCGCAATATCTTATATTCTTAGTCATAGTATCATGTATACTAGGAAGGAATCTGGGCACTGAGACTCTCATTCAGAATTTCTGGTGAAGACTCCATTAATGGAGTTCAAAACTTGAATAAGCAAAATCCGCGCGTCAAAACTCCAAACCTGAGTAATTGTGATGTTAATTTTTCTAATAATTATTATCTTAGGAATAAGTTAATATAACCACAGTGCAGAAACAAAAATGTTATCTTTGTTTTTTGGTTTTTAGGTAAAGAAATCTCATTTCCACAACAAAAAACATACCAAAAATACAGTAGTACCTGCATACGAAGAGGAGACTTCGTCGAGCACGACCGAGAGTAACGGCAGCCTCAACGAAGACCCCGAAAAAGAAAACAACCAAAGAATCAGTGTGAAAGTTTGCTCAAAAACGACAACAAAAAGAGACAGGGAAAGCCAAAAGACAAACACTACGAACGGCGGTTTCGTAGACGGCAATCCGAATCACACTAACGAATTCAAACACGTTCATTTCAATCACAGTAATCATCACAACAAACTTAAACATCAAAAGTTACTTGCGAAGGCCGCGAAGGCGAACGAGAAACAAATTAAGGAGAATAAAGACTTCGAGGATCATCATAAAACCAATGAGCACACTCTAAATACGCCGGTTAACAAACATCATAGTCATCAAAAGGACAGAAGTGAGAAGAAGAAGGAGAGAATTTCAAAAGAGCGTAAAGAAAAAGGTATGTTCCTCATTTTTAACTTTTTTATATAAATATTTTTAAATGCATTTTTTTGAAAAATCATTTTAACTTGCGAAAAACATTTAATTAATTAATAGTTATACCATATCATGTAGTATGTAGTAGATATAGTTTGTGTGACATTTAAACTACTCACTGATGATAGTGATAAGAATTGAGTAAGGTATCAAACTACTGTGGTAAAGTATACACGCGTCTAAGTTCATGCGTCGTGCTAGTCTTATACGAACCCTGCTGCTCAAGCGATTATTCACCGCATACTAGTCAATTCAGTTTGCTGTTTGCTCACATATGCCAACTATTAAGGTTGGCATTTTTTATATATCCATATTGGCATATTCTTTCATTGTATAATTATACAATTGAGGGTATCTTTACATTTCCCCAACGAATTTTATATTAAACACCTAGAAACAGAAATTCAATGTTTTCAGAATTTTATGGTACAAACAATATATTTCTACAAAGCTAGTGGTACTACAAACAACGAACATAATATTCGTCGATCTTAAAAAAAATTATTTTAGGGCAAAAAACAATAAAAAACGAAGAAAGCAAATAGAATAATCTTATCCCCATGACTTACTTACTTTATCGTATCCGGACATGTCATTCATAAAATTTCGGCCCAGTATCGGGCTATGTTGGTTCCATCTTTGTTGGCGAGCCACAAATCTTCAAGGGTACATCGATGAGGACAGTTTCTGCATGTAAGAAGATGTGTTCCATATTCTGTGTTTCTCCACAGTCACAGTTCACATCATCTTGGTCTATTTTTCTCCATTTTGCCATGTTTGATTTTACTGTAGCAACCCCCGTTCTTATTCTATTCAAGGTTTTCCACGTTTTAAAGTCTAGGGTCTGACCGGTCCATTGAATCTAGGGAAGTGGAAAATACTCAGGCGGTTCATCCTGCACTGTTCCAAGGAAGCTTTTCCTAGATTTTAGTCGCTTTCGTGGTGTTCGAGCTTTATATAGGGTATGCCGATCGTCCGCGATCTGTTTAATTTCCTCTATGTGTTCTGCAGCGCCTCTGCGTGTTGAGGGTTCTGCAAAACCCGCTGCTTTGTATAGATTTGAAAGTGGCGTTGGTTTCATGCACCCTGTTACTATCCTGCATGTCTCATTTAGCGCAGTATCAACTTGTTTGGTGTGGGCAGATCTGCTCCAAACGGGGCACGCATATTCAGCAGTTGAGAAACACGGTGCCTGTGCCGTTGTTATAAAACGCCAGGATGTGCGCCCCATTTACTTCCCGTTAGCTTTATGAGTATGCTGTTCCTAGTTGTTACTTTCCCTCTTGTTTTTATGCAATGTTGTCTGTAGGTGAGGGACCGGTCCAGAGTTACTCCAAGATATATAGGTTGGTTTGTGTGTTCTAATATATTACCATTCCACACAATTTGGAGTTTTCGCTTGGCTTCCTTTGTGCGAAGGTGGAAAGCGCAGACTTGGGTTTTAGAGGGATTGGGTCTCAGAGAATTCTGCAGGTAGTACGCTGTCATTGTTTTTAAGGCAGTTTCGAGTTTCTCCTCCACTTCTTCAAAACTATTTCCTTGAGCACATATTGCAAGATCATCAGCATAGAGGAAGTGCTTGGTTTCGGTCGGAGTAGGTTGGTCGTTTGTGTATATATTGAATTGCATTGGTGCTAAAACACTTCCCTGTGGGAGGCCGTTTTTTTTTTTAACTCTCCACCTACTTACTTTATCCTCCAGCATAATGAAAGAACGTCTATTTTGCAGTAAGGAATATACGACCTTTCCCAGATGGTGGTCATTGAGAGTGTCGTATAATTTGTGGAGCAATGTTTTGTGTTTTACTGTGTTATATCTATGCTGTCAGATCTACAAAAGCAGCCCCTGTTATAAGTTTTTCTTCAAAGCCCTCTTCAATGTGTTCTGTTAATGCGAAGACTTGACCGGTGCAAGATTTGCCAGGTCTGAATCTTCCTTGTTGTGGAATGAGGTGCTTGTCGACTGAAACGTGACTGACTGAAATCCCCATGACTGAAAACGTGCGTCTCACTGGAACTTTCTCGTGCGCTACCGATCGCAAATGACGAGAGTCGTACAAGACGAGGAGATTTGCAATTCTAGACGACCACTAAACGCCCGTCTGCAGAGCTCAATACAACAACGAAGGAATTTGGGAAGTGGGGAGAGACCTACGCGATTGAAATCGAGTCGACCACTTCGAGCGTCGACCCATGTGCGGACGGCCTTACTCTACTCGGAGTTCAACTCGGAAGTATAAACGTCTACTCGGAACCTCTTGTCACTCGTATCCGAGCTCGGATTGAAGTTGAACGCAAACCGAGTAGTAGTACGAGTTCCTGCCAGTTCCTGTATGAGTGAGCGTCAAAGTAGTGGAAATTCCAAATTAACAATGGCGGAACTAAGATTTTCTGCAGATCAAATGGATCAATTTATCGATCTTTACTGTTTTTTTGAATGTCAATGGAATGTGAAACTGGAGGAGTACCGGGACCGGGACATTATCAAAAAAATAATGCGTACGAGACTATTGCGAGACTATTTCCACAGACCAAGTCAAGAAAAAGATCAAGATCCACGTACTTACAAGAAAAGAAAAATTGGAGCGATCTAAAAGTACAGAAATGCAACAGCAGCTCGTTTCTTTCTTGATGGCACAATTTTTAAATTCTCTTTGAAACCACTCTGATCGCTCGGATTCAATGTAAACGATGCAGTTCTACTCGTAACTCAAATCCCAACTACTCTGACCCGAGTACTCGTAAATGTAAAGTCCGCTTAAAAGTTCCAAATTATATGTCAATCCTTTTTATAATTAATAGTGTCTGCCGTATGTTCGTGTCCTCTGTCAAGGATTCTTTCAATCTCTAGATAACCTTAACAATGACAAAATCGCCGTAGCAAAACCTATAAATTATATGCCAATTTTCTTCATATTTTTAATATCTGTCATAAGTTCCCTGTTGTCTATCAACTGTTTTTGTTTAATTTCATATAACCTAAAAAAATTACAGCAGTTGTCATATTAATGTGCCGTATTTTCATATGTGGTTTTTTTTGTATTTCTAGGGTTCCATAAGAAATCATTGGAGAAAAACAAACAAATTCACAATGAACTGTCAGAAAAATATGACAAACACGACAAGCACGAGAAACACGAAAAAAATGAGAAACACGAGAAACACAAAAACCCTCTAAGTTTCAACGTCCCCCTTCCAACTCCCATTACGTCGACGGTATGGGGTGAGAGTCGAGCCAAGTTCAGTGACGTCGTGGCGAGATCTGAGTCTTCGTGTTCCTTATTTTCGAACAACAGTCGGCCCTTAAGTCATACAAGTACGGCGAAGTCAGCAGTTACAAAACCGACCATGTACGTGGAGCCCTACAAACAAACCACCCCGACGGAACTCGGGCCGATAGGATCGAGACGCACAGACAGGAGGTCTTCCAGCGAGAACAACCGAAGATCCATGGGCGAAGGGAGTTTCGGTCACGATAATTTCTTACATACAAACGGCTTAAGGAGCGAGACGGCCAATAGTTTCTTCTCTGATGAAATACGCTTAGATAATGTTGGCAGAGAGAACGGGTATTTGGGAGATTTGAATTCCTGGAACCAACAGCAGACGTTTAGTAGTGCTTTGGAGACGGGATTTACTTCTTCGGAGGCAAATACCATCATGGAAGGTAAGTTATTTTCTCGTACTTTCTATTTCTCTAAGTAAGTTGCTTGTACAGATTCTTAAAGGTATTTTTCTCTTGTTTGCCATTATAGTATCATTTCTTGTTGTATTTGTGTTAAAATTCCTTCAATATTCTTTTAATGTCGCATCTTAAATCTGTGATTCTTTTGATCTTATTTCTCACTTCTAGCCATGATTATTACGTCATCTGCAAATCCTGCTTCTGGGATTACCATTCTTTTACTACCGTTTTGAGTCGAGAATGATTGAGATGCTCTATTTTTGTGTATAATACAATTTCTGTTACATAGTTTTATATATATTCTTCAATATTCTTATTATCCTACTGTCGATATCTATTCTGTGCAGTGTATTCAAAAATTTTTTTTTGATACCTTGGCGAACGCCTTCTCTAGTTCTATAAATCCAAAATATATACTTTTCTTCAATTTTATACTATTTTTGTTATTTGTTTTACTGCTATTATATGCTCCTTCTCTTGCTTAATCCAAATTGTGATTCTTTTAGTTTGTTTTGTATTTCTATCAATATTTTATTTTTTAGTATTTGTTCAAACATTTTCATAACTATAGAAAAGACAGTTATTTTCATAACTTCACTTTTTAGTGTTCTTAATTCACTCATAGTTATACTCAACAAGGAAAATGAATTTCCTGTAGTCGATTGTATACCACAAATCACAAAAACTTTATTTAAAAAATTCTTTATAAAAAGGTATATTTATTTCAAAAGAACCCTTTCGGTCTACATCACAGAACGTTTTCGGAATGATGGACGATTTTCAGCAACAATGTAATATACAGATCACGACATTGTTTTTTTTTTACCACACAACACAATGGCAATCGTTGTGACATGTTACACGTTTCCACCTCTATATTCATTTCACAGTAGGTACAAATTGTTATAATTGTCACATTGATATTAAAAATTTCAAACGGAGTTCTGAAAGAATAAACAAATAATTAATAAAATGCCTATTACGTTGTATACCGTCCAAGAAAAAGTACAACTTGTAACATGGTACTTTCAGGCTCATTCGATAAGCGAAGTAATTTATTTATTTATTGTTGCCTTCGAAAATAGACCTCTACCAAGTGTTACAACAGTTAAAAATACCATTAAACATTTTCAAACTTCGGGATGTGTAAACAGTTGTAAAAAGTGTCATGAAGGTAATGAACCACGTGTTAGACTTGTTGATAATGAGTGTCAAAACACTGATATTGAAATTTGTGCTTTTGTAAAAGCTAGTGAACCCTACAATAGTGTATAAATTGCTAGGGAAGTTAACGTGAATGCTCGAACTGTCCAGCGAGTTTTCAAAAGAAGTGGGTATGACTGTTTTAAGATACAACAAACACAAGAACTAATTTCCGGAAGATAACTTTAGGCGGATGGAGTTTTGTGAATTTATGTTAGAAAAACAGAATGAAAATGTACACTTTTTAAAAAATATTTTATTTCCCGAGGAATCTTCATTTTCATTACATAAAAAACACAAACAATCCGTTGCAAGGTATTATTTTTGGAAAAATAAGCACCTTAGTGTTGCAGTGCGAACGCGTCATCCGTAAAAGTTAAATGTTTGGACTGGGATGTTAGGCATATTTTCAGTCCATTTTTTTTTCGTTGGAAATTTAAACGGGCTCAAATATTTACAACGTTTACAGAATGAGATCATTTCGGCTGTTCGACGCCTTCCCGTTAATTTTCAGCAGGTTTATTTCCAACAGGATGGGTGTTCGGCTCACAACTCTAGAGCAACTATTGACTTCCTAAATCAAACGTTTTCTGATCGACTGATAAGTACACGCGGTACAATTAAATGGCCCGCTAGATCCCGTGACTTAGCGCGTAACGATTTCTGTATAACAAATCTATTAAAGTTTACAGGATTTTCACCCATATATTTAGTGGCTTCATCTATGTATATCTATTAAGTATTAAACTATGTTTGCTTTAACCTTGTCAAAAGTTAGCCTTTACGTTTGTCTTAATTAAAGTGGTAATACTTATTCCAGGAAACAGCACTGATGATGGAATTAGTATTCCGGAAACGTTCTGTAATGTAGCCCGAAAGTTGCTTTTTGCTGTAGTCTTTTTAAATAAATATACATTTTTATAAAGGATTTTTTTAATAAAATTTTCATATAGGTAAAAAGAAATAAATAAGACTTACTCACAATCAATTTAATTTAACTATCTAGACGACCGGTTTCGCTTTCTACAATTTGCAAAGCATCTTCAGGTCAGTCGATACAAAGTTATTTAAATGATGCCGGTATACGATTTATTATTATTAAAATAAAACCGATGAAAAACCGGTTCGCTAGATAGTTAAATTAAATTGATTGTGAGTAAGTCTTATTTATTTCTTTTTTACCTATTTGAAATGGACTCACACAAGCAACACATTCATGATTTAAAATTTTCATAGATATTATTACCTTCTTCGTTATCATCATTCACTACTCGTTTTGTTGCTTGACTTCCTACGTGACCCATTCTCCCAAGTAAATCTTCAAAGTATTTTTTTCATCTATTCATTTTTTATATGATTTGATATATCTATTCATCTATAAAAGAGTTTTTGATTTTTCTTACTTCATCTCTCCTCATTTTTTCGACAACTTCTATCCATTTCTTCTTATTTGGTTGAGTTATTTGATCTTTTATTTTCTTTCTTTCTTTCCATTTTATATTTTTAGTAGTTTTCGGTTGTTCTGTTTGTTTATTATTGTTAGTTCTTCTATTTGTTCTCCATATATCTTTATTCATTTCTATTAATGTATTTTTGAAGTATTCTTTTATGTGATCAATACTGGAGCTATTGGTGATTTCATCCTCATTGTTAATCAATTCATCCAATTTTGTTTATAGTGCTAGTTTGTATTTTCCTGCTGTATTTTTTTCTGTTAGTTTACGTTTGTATAGTTTCTACTCAATTTTTTGCTGAAATGATTGTCCTACTTTGCAAATACACTTCTAGTGCATTTGCGTATGTTTTTGTGGTTGTAGAAACTATTAGTTTTGATTAACTTGAGAATTTAACAAAACTTAATCAAGCATCCTTCCTCCATTCTGTTTCTGTTGTTTTCTCCATGTATTGATTTTACTTCTTTATACAAATCATCATCTATTCTTCCTACTTTGCTATTAACATCGCGTGGAAACAATATTTTTTCTCCCCTTAAATATATTTATATTATATATGATCACAAGAAAATAATTTCAGAACAACATAAAATACTATCGGTTACTAGGGATAAAACCCGGGACAAATATGAAAGTGTTCAGCTAGACAAAGAAAAAAGGGGAAGCTATATCGACAATAAAAAGAAGAAAGCTCCAATATTAAGGTTATTATATAAAGGAACAAAAGTACATCGTAAAAATCGAAGAAATGTGGATTCGAAATTTGAGACAATGCTTTGCTTGCATTACAAGTTAAAAAGGTCAAGGTAGCCTCGATGATTTCAAATTTTTGACAGTAGTAACTTAACACTAACAAGTTGGATTCGGAGACCTCTTTCTTTTCCAATATAAAGATCTGCGAATAAATTTTATCTCGGAACTCCAGTGACCGAAGTTATCGACGAAGATCAGATCCCTCTGTGTTGGATCGACGGTAATTAAAAAAATCTGAGGAAACTTTAAGGTAAGGAGCTGAGAAAGATATTGATCGAGACTAAACACACCAAGGGCTACAGCGTATTTGGAGTAATAGTACTAATAGTAATAAAAGTCGTGTATTTTTTAAGCTGTTTATCGGCTAAGGTATGTCTTTTAAGACAAATTTATACGATTTTATTTAATACAGTCTTTTTTGTTTTAATTTTCGCTGCGTGCAGAAGATTATGAAGAAGGAAACGATATAGGTAAGAGTATAGTTAACACGCTTAACGTATGTTGTAGTAAAAGTTTACAGCTGCTAAATTTATATTCTTTTTTTAAGATCCATGGAACCAAAATCTATTAAACACAAGTTCCTATTGGGAGAGCTACAACCCATTGTTGAATGATAGTCCCCTGTTGACGGATACGCCGCTCTTGAACGAGAATTCCCTCCTGAGCGAAGCTACCGCCTTGCCAACGCAGAACAACGTGACATCGGCGTCAAACGTTTACCTGTGGGGATCGTCTTCGGTGTGGCAACCTTGGGCTCCAGAAACGACGAGGACTCCTACCAGGACACCCCCGGGTTTCGACGAGTTTCTTCACCGGAAAGATGAGGTTTGTTAAATGTCTTTAGGTGCCTTCCGTAGGCACCGTTATTTTTACATACATATGAGGTAAAGTGGTGTCTTATTGACCCCATATTTTAATATTATTAGTTATGAAGATTTTATGCAAAAATGGTACATTGAACTGAATTACATTATTGAAGTATCTATAATAAACCATTTTAACAAAACAGATTTTTCCACAAAGAAATATTGTTTACATATTTGGTAAAGCAAATAAAATGTCAATAAAAGACTGGTTCTCTTTATTTAACAAACTTTAAAGTAAACATTATTATGTGGAAATATAAAGAAATGTGAACTAAACCTTATTCTGGGGAAATATAAAGAAATGGACAGTAAGATGGCAGTCAAACATTTTATTGTCCACATTTAAAACATTTTATTGTACGGTGTTCATCATACATGGCAAGTTGGCACGTATTACGTAACAGTTTAGTTTGTCTGTCTCTATCTCCGGTGCAAAAGTAGCATCTAACCTGCTTTGATAAACTATGTGGTTCAGATGTTGTTTCGGGTATCTCCAAAATATCTCTTATGTAGTATTTTAGAGTCCTATTTAAAGTCGAAATTTCTAACCGAACTCTAAGTAAAGGTTCTATCAATTGAAAAGCTTATATTATATCCGTCTGTGTATTTCAGCAGCATTTATGGCGCTGTGATCAAGCATTGCACAAATATTCGCGTACTTCTGGTTGTATAGGCATGGCAAAGTTTATCAAAAATATTAATGTCACCTTTAGTTAGTATCATCTGAATAGTGCATTGTTGACACCAAAACAACCAATTTGTTTTTTTTTTTTGAGTAAATGACACCAGGATTTTATTGTCATCAAATGCACATTGAGAACGTCTCTCTATTTTTCCAGTTAAAAACGAAGGAGGTATTTCTCGTTTGTTTTTTGTCGAAGTCTTAATCATAGTAATTTTATACTGAGTGGAAGAAAACCAATAGTCAACAATTATATTCCTATTAGTTCCATGAATCAGCTTAGAAAGTTCTCTTACGTAACATGACGGAACTGACTTACTGTTTTCAGTATTAACTTTACCAATGCAAGGAATAGCGTTACCCATATACTATGTTTTGACACCATTCATCATAACAATTTTAATGCCAAGAAAAATGTTTAAACTGTTTCATTGACATTTTTGCTCTATATAACCACATACCATGTTTTTCGATCTGACTTATTTACTCCACAAAAAGAGTAATCCGATAAAAGCACGGATTTCGGTTATGTCGGTTCTACGGTGATATGACTGCTTGTTTTCCAAAAGTATATTTTTTTGCTCAATTTCCTCATTAGTATGAAGGACAATATTATCTATACTCCATTCCACGAATATACGACTATTGTAAATTCGGTTTAAGGTATCGATTTAAATGGTCCAATGTGCTGAATTGTACCGGGTGGTCCAATAAGCCAATCCGTCGGCTATATATCAGAAACTATTCATGTTATAACTTTAGGAGAAAAAATTCCTTAGTAAAAGTGGCCAAGAGAAATCGCTGAAAATACCTTTCAAGTTTCTGGGTTAACCGCTAGGGGCGTAACCTGTGAAGAAAACTTTGAAAACCAGTTTTTTGTGTTAAATAAGTAAACTAGAAAGAGGAATAAATCCTGCACAAAGTTGTTCAAGTCTTTTTTTTTATTTTTTCAAATAAATGGTGGGGGAGAGTGGGAAAGTATTTGTGAATAAATACATATAACTTTGGTTTGGATCAATAGATTTTAACGAAATTAGTGTCATTAGAAAAAGTGTCGATAATTTAATTTACATCTACTATAAAACAATTGCATTTGGTTTTAATTGTCATAGATAGAGGGTACTTTCGAATAGAAAAAATTAAAATTTGTTTTTCTTCAAAACGTTTAATGGAAACACCTATTTATTGTAAATTATAATGGAACTGGATTAAATTCGTAACAAAATGGCGCAAACCACATGTTGATAGCTTTTGTCGAACTCGAGATATGAATAAAACCTCATAAACGTAAGTAAGTATAGTATTGACTCACCCTTTATTATAACTTAAAATTACATATGTGAAAAATCATACAAATATCTCGATCATTAAAACTTAACGTCCAATTAAATGTTTAAATTGTTTTCCATCGTTGTCCACACAAACAAAATGGTATCTTTCGCACGCAGACTTACAGCTGCTTCAATCTCAGCTGTTGATATAAAACTCAAAAAATCTTGAAAAATCCACAATTGTTTCACAAGATAAATCATGCATAAATATTTTTTAGAAACGGATAAAAGGATAAAAGCGTCGTGTTGCTGTTTTTATCGGAATATTAAAATAACAGTTGAATCTAAAGTTTAAAGGGAATTCCAAGTTTCTGACCTAAACGTTCACTTTATAATATGAAAAACCAACCTGTAATGTTTTAAAATCCCTAGAACAGTAGTTTTGGGTATGTAACTCTATAGAGATTTGCCAACTACTTATATGTGGATTCTGTTGAATTAAAGCAAGAACATTGATTGAATTTTCTTCGGTCCTACCTCTACTACGTCGTTTAAAACAAGGACAATGAAAACTACCAGTTTCTCTTAATCTTCTTGCCTTTCTTTCGAATACTTCTTTGCCATAATGTCTCCTATCAGGATATCTTACATAATATATACGTGAGGCAATAACGGCATTTTGGTGACATTCGAAATAAGCTCCGATCATATCATACAATTCTGCATTTGATATACTCATCACGAATTATTAGTACTGATAATTAGTTAATAATATTAGCAATATTAATATCTATTGAAAAAGTGTAATCTTCAATTCGAATTATAATATAACACTTCTTAACAATGTTTTGACTGTTCTCAATAAATAAACAATATGAACTCCCCGTCAAATTCTTTGTTGTAGCCTACTTTTTAAGCATATAAAATAACAATGGAAAAAATAGGTATCAACATTAAGATTCTTCTGCTATAAAAAAAATTGAAAGTACCTACTGACTTATTTTTTAATTTAATTTATAATACAGGGTGAGTCAATACTATTCTTACTTATGTTTATGCGTTATCTCGAGTTCGACACAAGCTATTAAGACGCGGTTTGTGCCACTTTGTTACGAATTTAATCCAGTTCCATTATAATTTACAATAAATAGGTGTTTATTAAACATTTTTTCTATTCGAAAGTACCCTCTACCTATGACAATTAAAACTAAATGCAATTATTTAATAGTAGATGTAAATTAATTCATCCACACTCTTTCTAATGACACTAATTTCGTTAAAATCGGTTGATTCAAACCAAAGTTATAGGTATTTATCCACAAATACTTTCCCACTCACCCCCCACCATTTATTTGAAAAAATAAAAAAAAGTACTTGAACAACTTTGTGCAGAATTTAGGCCTCTTTCTAGTTTACTTATTTATCACTTGGTATAATTGGGCATATTTTCCAAAAAACTGGTTTTCAAAGTTTTCTTCACAGGTTACGCCCCCTAGCGGTTAACTCAGAAACTTGAAAGGTATTTCCAGCGATTTCTCTTGGCCAGTTCTACTAAGAAATTTTTTCTCCTAAAGTTATAACATGAATAGTTTCTGATATATAGCCGAGAGATCGGCTTATTGGACCACCCGGTACAATAGTAAATTCTCCCCATTTTTAAAATACTGTTATGATAGATATAAACCTTAGATTTAAATATGAAGTCATAATATAAATATAGAGTTGATAATTTATAGAACAACTGTAATTCAGATTTTAAGTATATAATTATTATCATTGAATTTAGTATTGTAAACAAGTTGGTTTTTGAATTAAGTTAGTTTGAATTAGTGTAATTTATTTAGTCGAATATTCAATTAGTATTAAAAAACAAAAAATTGGTTTTTAAAACTAAAATCAGTCTGCGATATATGAAACTGTATGTAAATTTTCGTTGCTTTTTAATATCTGTAACGACTCTGTACTTTAACTATCAATAGCTGGTATGTTATACCCATTACTTTCGGAACTTTTAAGAGTACATCCACTCAAAGCAAACAAATATTTAAAACTAACAAAGTGAAATATTAGATTCTTTTTCTGGTTTCTGAACCATCGTTCTGCCAATATTTCTTTTCGTGTATATTAGAAATAGTATAGTTCTTTTTATTACAGTTGTAGTACCTAATAAAGTAATAAAATAGTGTATTATCAAAGAATACAATACATACACAGCATGCAATGAACCCGAGATCGTAACATCCATAAAGATCGGACGTCTGCGCTGGATGGGCCATGTTGAACGGATGTTGGAGACTGAAACGCCAAAACATATAATGAGGCAAACACCAGTAGGGAGAAGGTCAAAGGGAAGGCCCAAACTTAGATACATGGAACAAGTGGAACAAGATCTGAAAACACTTAAGATTACCAACTGGAAAAACAAAGCAAAAAACAGAACAGAATGGCGGAAAATCCTAGAACAAGCCAGGACACAGAAAGGGTTGTCGAGCTACTGATGATGATGATGATTATTAAAGAAACCTGGCACGCCTCTTTAGTGTTTACATTTCACCCAACCCAAATGTGTGATAAACATATTTGGCTTCATAGACGTCATTGTATTTATTTTTAGGAGCGTTTGCGTAAAACTTTTTGTTATTTTCGGATTACATTTCACAATAAATTTTGCGTCTGTCTGAACATCTATTAACTGAAATAATTTTAGTTTAGATGTCATACTAACAGTAGATCCTTTTTATTGGAATAATGATTAGACCAATTTACTTTCATACTTCTACTTAGTAAAAATTTGCACAGAAAAATATTCGTTGTCGCAATAATCCAAAACAGTCGTATATTCGTGGAATAACCGATATTATATTTTGATCGAACAGTAAAGTCCATACTTCTAATGGTGATTTTACGTTACGGGCTTCTGCTTTTGAACCTGGTATAAATGATATTATATTTTTTTGTGGACGTCTTCCTCTACTTTCTGGTTTTTGCATAGTTCACTTATGGTTAGATTTACCATTTATAATTTTTAATTGACTAGTAGAAAGCTGTTCGTCAACTATGAATCTTTGTCGCTTTCCTCACTCTCCGACACTTCCTGTTCTATCAAATAATCTGACTCTAGATCTGTTTCTGAATCATTTTCGTATGAGATAACATCCTCATCTTTCTCTAAAAAGAATTTGTTCATATCCTCTTCTAGCTCTTGTTCACTTAGGGGACGTTTGGAAGCCATTTATATGCTACAATAAAACGAGAAATATATATATTTACACTATCTAACAAACATAAAAATGTCAAACGTATCAAAGTTTTTAAAATTGCAACAATATAAAAATATGTATCGCACAAAAAATGTAACACGTAAGACACTTTGGGGTCAGACCGACCCCGAACAAACTTAACTTCGTCACCGGTTTACTATAAACTAAATTTGAATGAGACGCTAAGAGTTACTGGTCAAGGACATACTAACTAGAATTTACATTGAGGGACATGCGCATGTCCCGTTAAACATATTTAGATAGACATATTGATTGAATAGATAAAATGGAGATATACAAACATTTAAGATACCAGGTTATTTCACACAAACTAATAAAGCTAATGAAAATGACACTTAACTGAAACTGAACACTAGATATTTTGGTAAATGTACATATCAGAAACCTTTACAGTCCGCAAGAAAGTTCTACAATCCACTGTCCACAACGCTTTTTAATATGATCCTAGAAACAGTCTATGCAAATTTAACAACGAGCATCAGTATCTATCCTTTGCAGGTGATATGGTTATAGTGGCAAATAGCAAGAAAAATTTAATAAGAATCATGAAGAAAATAATTGGTGACGCTAAACAATATGGACTACAAATTAACATCAGCAAAACAAAATACACAATAATGAGAGGCACAAAGTAAAAACAAACGAAAACTATCTGAGATTTATAAACCACAAAGGGACAGTTGAAAAAGTTACAAATTACATCTACTTGGTGATATGAATCGATGAAAAATGTCAACATATCGAGAAATTAAAATACACAAATAAAAAGCCTAAGAATGATAATGAAGTCAAAATATAGGACAAAAATAAGACTGTACAAAAATGTTACAAGACCAACAGTAACGTATGCCAGTAAAGCATAAGTATTAAGAAAATCATATTGCAGGGTTGGAGAGAAAGATATTGAAAGGAATCTACGGATGAACCAGAGACTGAAAATTGGTGAGAACGGACCAATAATAAGGAGAAATAACGAATTAGAATTATTGTATGAGTGGCCCAACGTTACAGATTCCATAAGAATACAAAGACTGCGAGGTTGGGACACGTGCAAAGGATGGAAAGGTACAGAATGCCAAAAATGGTCTTGGGCAGACGACCAATAGGGAAAATGAAGAAAGAGCGCCCACGAAATACGTGGTATTACAGTTTTGTAGAAGATCTAAGAGGTATTTGAGTCCTTGACTGAAAATAAATATATGGTGGACCCAGACAATAAAGAAAATAAAATTTTTGGCAATTCGTGGAAACGTCGTAGACACAAGTTCCATCCATAGTAATGAAATGATGCGTAAAATTATTTTCCATTCTATATTCTACTAAGTCTCATAACTATAACTAAGGACTATATAATATTTGTGCTATGATTCCAGGCATTTGTGCACCTTTTTGGACCGTGAATTGTCTTCCAGTCTTTTCTGACCACATTTAAATTTAAAATTCACCTTGTTGTAGACTTTTCAATATCTTCCATGAATTTGATTTGGAGCACAATATATTTTTTCACAACAAACAGTGGTACCATCTTTAGAAAAATAAAACTAATCTATTATTGAACGATAAAACTTATTTAACATCCTTGCTATTTTAGATAATAATAATTTTAAACTTTGTTTTAGCAATCGCCGCAACAACCGCAACAGTCATCGCCGAGGGAGAGCTACAGCCCCTTCAATATTTCTCCGTTGTGGAACCAACAGCAAACAAACCCATGGAATTACTCTCAAGGACAGTAAATGCCGGCATTTTGATTCGTATTTTCGACGATTCTCTGGGCCTTTTGCACTTATTCCATACTTATTTGGAATTTATTGATTGTGTTTTTGTAAGACTGCATGTAATATATGAAATACTCATTTGTGTAGGATTCGTTTTGTCCTACTCTGACCTATTTTTTTGATTTTCTTAGAAGTCTTTCAATCTCTGGAAAATTGATGTTGAAATCGCCTTCTTTGACTTAAAGGAACTGTTTATACAGTTTTATTTAAAAAGAAGATCCCTCAATAAATGTTATGAGCAAATTATTTGTACGAGCATCATTTCATTTATTTTTTAATCGCCCCTTTAACTTTATTTACACCTACGGTAAGTTAATTTATCCACATTTTGTATCAAACAAAAAGAACGAATATGAAAATAATTGAAGGCTTGAATAGTGATTTAATATAAGGAGGAATAAAGTAGCTGTAGAGGAAGAGCTTTAATTCATGACTTACATGAATTATGAATTACAGCAAGACCAAAACTATAACAAATACAGATGAAGACATCACAATGAGAATCGGACAAGATGAAATAGAACAAGTTAAGGATTATATATATCTTGGTCAAACTATAAAACTTAACAAAGAGAACCAAACAGCAGAGATCAAGAGACGAGTTAGACTGGCATGGGCGGCATTTGGCAAACTAAGCTACATTCCTAAAAACAAAAGATATCCACAGCATCTTAAGACCAAAGTATATAATCAATGCGTACTCAATGTTCTTACGTATGGCTCCCAAACGTGGACATTTACAAAAGCAAACATGGACAAAATCATAAAAACCCAAAAAGCAATGGAAAGACAAATGTTGCACATAAGACTAATGGATAAGAAGAGAAACGAGTGGATAAGAGAGAAAACAAAAGTGAGGGATGTTAGACAAGAAGTTGCAAAATTGAAATGGAGATTTGCCGGACACAATATAAGACAAAAAGAAGACCGATGGAACAAAATTCTTATAAGTTGGAGACCGTGGGAATATAAACGAAGCAGAGGAAGGCCCCAAATGAGATGGGCAGATGATATCAAGAAGCACGTGGGCTCTAGATGGATGACTGTTGCGACAGACAGAGAAGAATGGAAAAGGATTGGGGAGGCCTATGTCCAAAGATGGACTGAAGAAGGCTAATTAGATAGATAGATAGAGGAAGAGCTAAGAGGAAGATTTTTGACAGAATTCCATAAAAAAAATAACAAATAGTCGGCTCCATGGCACAGCGGGCCGGCACCAATACGGAAAAGGTACATGCTGCACGTGTACACATTTTTTGTGGCTATGAATAGAGTATAGTAAGTAAGTCTCTTGATACAACCTACGTAAATCAAAGGTGAGAATCCCCAGTGGTCTGTGGTGCCGAATGATTTTAGGTCGTTTCCCACTACAAACAGAAAATCATAAAATATTTCAAGTTGGTCACTCAGCTGTGGACAGTTTGATTTTCGGAATGCAGTGGGTACAAGAGAAGTTCTTTTTAGCATACACGTAAAGCACTACAAGCTGATGGAGATATTAATAAATATTGGGATAGACATCTTTAATCTTAGAATTATTAGCAATCTTTACTGGAGTTAAACATCGTGTATCCGTAAAGAGGCAGGAGAATCGGATGATATCAAACGTGGGGTCCATCAGAGACGTATGCTATCACCCCTGTTGTTCAACATATATACTCTGAGAAAATCTTCCAAGCCGGAATTCAAATTAGCGGAGAATGATAATAGTTAATATTATCAATGATGGACGACCGCAGATTATTTAAAATCAAAGACCGAACTAAACATCAGCAGATCAACCGACAAATACAAAAAGAGTGTCGCAAAGCTAAAGAACAGTGGCTGCTAGACAGGTGTGCAGAAATGGAGGAATTGGAAGAAAAACATGACCACTTTAACATACATAAACGTACAGGTCATACAAAACCTTACAGTTTTAACAGTATTGTGAAGGACAATAAATTAATTACTGATCCAAAGATCTACTTCAACATTGGAGGAACTACACACAGCAACTATACTCAGACACAACTAGAAGACACTCTGAAAGTGAGTATAAAAGTGAACCCTCCCCCAAAATATTGAAGTCAGAAGTTGGAAGGGCAATCAAACAGACCTAATGGGGAAAAGCACCAGGCGCATACGACATCTACATAGAGGTTCTAACAATGTTGAGTGAAGACAATTTAGACGCCTTGGTAGATCTTATTAATGACATTTATGGGTCCGGTCAAATACCACAGGACTGGTTTCAATCCACCTTTATACCAATCCCAAAAAAGCCAATCGCTAATAGTTGTGACCAATTCCGAATGATCAGCTTATTGAGCCAGGTCCTAAAACTCTTCTTAAAGATAATTAACACAAGAATATACAACAGATGTTTCACAGTTCAGTTTCAGACAAGGGTTTGGCACAAGAGAAGCACTTTACAGCTTAACTGTGCTACTTCAGAAATGCAGAGATCAGCAAAAAGATGTCTTCCTATGCTTTATAGATTACCAGAAAGCATTCGATTGTGTTAATCATTCAGAATTAGTAAGATTGCTCCAGGAACGTTCGATAGATGAGAATGACCAAAAAGCATTATCAAAACCATAAAGAACCTTTATATGAATCAAGTGGTATCTGTGAGAGTAGGACTGGAACCTACATCATATTTCTCAATCGAAAAAGGTGTACAACAGGTTTCTGTTCTGTCACCCCTTCTTTGTAACCTTTACTCTGAAACGATTTTCGTTAGAATCTTAAGTGACACTGAAGATGGAATCAAAATCAACAGACAGACTATTAGTCATCTTCGCTATGCTGATGATACAGTCATAATAGCTGATAGCCAAGAAGCGCTACAACGACTAATAGATAGAATAAACACTGAAGGAGAACGACTGGGCTTGAAGAATAATATAGACAAGACGAAGGTAATGGTGGTTAGTAGAACACGACATATGCAATTAAATTTAAGAGTAAATAACAAGAACATCCAAAAGGTCCCCAAGTTCAGATATCTCGGTAGTTGGATAACTGAAGATCTAGATGAAGACATAGAGATACGTAGCAGGATTGAGCAAGCCAGAACAGCATTTACTAATACGAGCAGCCTCAACTTAATGCTTCGATATCGCTTTGTAAAATGTTACATTTACTCCATACTGCTATATGGTGTAGAAACCTGGACCATAAAGGCCAATGTGATGAACCGATTGGAGACCTTTGAAATGTGGGTATTTAGAAGACTACTTAAAATTTCCTGGACAGATCACAACAAATGTCGGAAGTATTAAATCGAATGGGAAGAGAACGAGAATTGCTGCCAATAATGAAAAGAAGGAAAACTGCTTATCTGGATCATATATTTCGAAATTCCAAGTACCAATTCTTAAAGCTTATTATGGAAGGAAAACGAGACATCGAAAGAAAGAAATACTCATGGCTTAAAAACATAAGGGATTGGACAAACCTCGATGCCCATGCACTTTTTAGAGCCACACAAGATCGAGAGGAGTATACCAGAATTGTCGCCAACATCCACTAATTGGATAGGGCACCAGAAGAAGGAGAATGATAGCGGTATTATTCAGTGACAATTATGAAGTCCTCCAGAAGTTAATAAATAGGATCACAGAAGTTAGAGATATGGACTTTCACTAAACAATTGTATGATCTCATAATGTATGATGATCTCATAAGAGGACAAATCAGTGTGAACGGTCAACGAATAGAAAGAGTAAAAACATACACCTATCTTGGTACGAATGTCAATGACAATTGGGACCATTCTCTAGAAATCAAATGTAGGATAGAGAAAACAAGATTTGCATTTCAAAAAATGGCTAAGCTTTTCAAATCTTCTGATTGATCAATACTCATAAAAATCAGATTAATACGATGTTATATCTTTCCTACACAGTTGTATGAAGTTGAGTCGTGGACTCGCACAGACGTTATCTCCAAATCGAGGCTTTCAAAATGTGGCTTTATCGTCGAATCCTGAAGATATCTTATACCGACCACGTTACTAGTCACGAGATTTTATTAAGAATGCAAAAAGAAAAATAACTGTTAACCATAATAAAAACAGTCAAAATCAAATACCGCGGTCATATCAAGAGGAACAGCGAAAGATATGGATTGCCGCAACTAACTATACAGGTAAAAGTAGAAGGAAGACGAAGAACAGGAAGGCGAAGGATTTCCTGGCTGAAAAATCTACGTATCTGGCTCAACACAACAACCACAAATCTTTTCAGAGTAGCAAAGTGCAAATTACAGATTTCCATGACAGTCGCCTAACATCCGAAAAGGAGGTAACATGTCATCAAAACCTTAACTGCACACACATTAATTTTTACACGACAAAATATATTTTGGAAATATGAGAATCCAGTGAGATGTAAGAACTTCCCTAATAATACGTCCGTCAATAAGTACCGGGCCTAACCACGAGATGGCGACTGTAATAAATTTTCTATTTGACATTTCGGTAGTTCTAACCTTCAAAAGCATACTATCAAAATTTCATGTCATCCGAATTATTATTTACCGAGGTACAGTGTTTAAGGTAATTTATATTTTTGTGATTTTTATAAACAATGGATTCAAAGCAATTTCGTGTCGATTTATCCCTGTTATTTGATTAGGAAAATACCGTCCAAACTGAGCAATGGCTTAAAAAGTGTTACCGGGACTGTGCATCATCGATTACAACCATTAAACGATGTTTTGCTGAATTCAAACGTAGTCGGACCGTCACCAATGATGCTAAGTGCTCCGGACTGCCAAATGATGCAGTTATTTCTGAACACATCGAAAAAATGCTAAAAATTATTATGAAAAACTGAAAAGTAAAGTTGCAAGAGGAAGCTGACACTCTAAAGTAATCGACGTGTAGCATTTTATTTATTATACATAAACATTTGGGTATGAGAAAGCTGGAAAACAGCACACCAGAGCCAAAACAACAACTAAATGATGATTTCCGGCGATGTTTAGACATGTTTAGTCAGAATAAATCAGAGTTTTTGCATCTGTATGTCACAGTGGATGAAACATGGATCCATCTCTTCACTCCAGAATCAAATCGGTAGTCATCTAAGTGAACTGCACCTGGAGAAATCGACCAAAGACCCAACAAATCGCCGAAGATTTGGGGCCCGCAAGGAATTATTTCTATTGACTATTTGAAACATAGAGAAACAATCAATAGCGACTACCATATTGGTTTATTGGAGCCGAAATCGCAAAGAAAAGGCCTCATTTGTTCA